ATTGGAAACTCTTGTCTCTTTTTCCCTCTTTGGTGTTGGATAGTAAACATCCGGGATGTGCATGCTGTGCAAATGCTCTACAACTGAGCTTTGCCCTGGAACCTCTGTTCCCTTAAGTTCTCTTTCTGCAGTTAGCTTTTTCCAGATCTTGGGACATTTGGATTTTGTCCTCTTCCTCTCATACGTTTTCCCCGTAAGTGATTTCCTCTCCATACGTTTAAGGAATTAACCTTTTTTGTTTGTTTTGATGTTTTGCGGGGTAGGGTTTCACCGCTTGGTTGAGGCTGGTCTTAAACTCACTTTGTAGTGCAGACTGGCCTCAAACTTGCAGTGATCCTCCTGCCTCAGTCCCCCAGTGCTGGGATTACAAGTGTGCAGCACCATGCCCAACAACTCTTATTTTCTAGAACTTTTTTCTTTCTTTACTCATCTCTAATTGCATTTTCTTATATTTGGATATCAATATAATGAAAATTTCTCTGTTCCTGTTAACTGCTTTTAAATCTGTCTTTTTCTCATGTTTGAATTTTTCACTGGCACATCTGCAGTATGTAGTAGTTACATCCATGGTGGGGAGTTGGTTAATTGTCGTAAAACACGTCTTACTCTTTTTACTTCCCCTGCCCTCACCAAAATTTATCTTTTCGTGAGCGCATCCCTCTCAGCTAGGGTTACCTCTGGCTTTGGGATTGCGGGCTCTCCAGTGTTTAGTAGTTCTTAGCCACCTTTGCTTTTTATAGAGAGACATCGCATCAATTGAAAGATGTGTGTCCCTCAAAAGGGACAGCTGGGAAGCTGGCTGAGGGTCCGCTTTCCACTGCGTACAGCCCAGAATCTGGACTGCTAGCTCGCTTTGTTCTTTCTAGTTTGGTTCATTTTCTTCAAGGAACAATTAACTTTTCTCCTGCAAGGTGAATACCAGCCTGTGCCCTGTGGAGTGGAAGATGTTGGCTTCCTTTTATAACCATTGTTAACCTTTCTAACCATCCCTTTTCTCACGCCTGCACATCTGGGGTTTGTTGGTTTGTACTGGGAATCAAACTCCTGATCATAAGAGCTTGCGCCAGGCAGGCTCTGTGCGGCTGAGCTGTATCCGGGCCCTGGGTTTTATCAGGCAGCACAGGTCAGCTTTCTCCTCTTTATTTCATACCACTCCCTGCCTTTTCTAGCTTGCTTTATTTCTCTATATATTTTTTCACATTTATGTATTTTATTCATTTCTTTTTGTTGGCTTTGAGCATGGACAATATAAATGTCCTTGTGCAACCCATTGTGTTTAAGTTTTTGTTTCTTTTTGCTGTGATATTGTATCTAAATCTTTATGTACACTTCAATTTTTCTCCACAATAAAAAAAAGCTGTTATTTTGAAATAATCAGAAGATTTGCAGGGAGGTACAGGACAGAAAGGCCCCCCATGGCTTTCAGCTGATTTCTCCCAGAGGGTGTGTCTCATGTAGCTACAGTACAATATGATAATCAGGAGATTGACTTTGTATAAAGTATGTACAGGTAACTTAATGTTTTAGAATAAATGTTTAAAACAAAATTCTAAAACTAAGTGAAACAAACTTGTGGTTACTGCTAAATAAAGTGTGTATTGTAGAACAATTCTTGCTTAGTAGCCAGTTTTAAACTTGGACTGTACTGAGGAATTAATTGATCCGCAGCTGTTGGATGCTGGGCTTTGAGCGTTCGCTCTAGATTTGTCTGCCTTTTTTGTCCTTAGCCAGTGTTTTTATGTTCTTGCAGGCTTTACTTCCTTGTCAGATTCTGTCTCCCTGGTTGGCAGCAGTCATGTCCTCCAGCAACTCTTTTGTGCTTGTTGCTTAAGAATTTAGAAACAGAGGTTTGTTTTCCCAGCCTCTGCCGTTTCCCTGCTAGTTGATCTCATTGGATCTGGTTGAGGGCGGGGAGTCGGGCCCTGGTTTGGCCGCAGTGTTTGGTTGAATATTTCTGGAAGGAAGTCCTGCCAGGCAGTTCAGTTTGAGAGTTTCAGTCCAGTCTCCTTGCAATCTGCCCAACCTTTTGTCAGTTTTTTAAATGATGTGTTTCATGACTAGTTCTCATTGGAAAAGATTCCAGCAGTTCACAGTTATATTATACACAACAAAATATAAAAACTTGTTTCCATCCTCCCACATCTTTATCTTTCCCTCTGTCCAGGAGGGGACCCTGTCAGCAGTTGCCTATGCTTGACTGGTCTGTGAAGGCTCCTTGCATTGTGATTGGCTGTGAATACCTGTAGCTGTGCACCTTTGGGAGGAGATGATCAGTGAACACAGTATATTCAACTACTTGTCATTTTCATTTTGTCTTGGAGAATGATAGTGCTTTACCATTAGACTGTGTCTTAATTTACTTAATCACTACTGTGGTTTATGAATTATATGCATTTAGTCTATAGTAATAATAAAGTGATGATCTTTTTCTTTTTTAGTATTTATTTCCTGCTAAACAGAAAGATGTAAAAACCTAGATACTATATGGCATCACCCCGGTATCATACCAAAGCACTGTTTCAAGTTCTTGAGTGGAACTTTTGGAAACTTTTCCCTGTTGGAAAGAATAGACACAGTTATATAGTACATAGAAATATATTAATTTGATCAAGCTTATTTTCTAAACCAAATCCTCTACATACATATTTCATTTACTTGGACTCCTTACCTCCCATAAAATAAGTCAGCTATTTTAAAAAGTGTACAGGTTTATAAAAATGTTTTTAAGAATTAAAACATGCAATTGTAGTGCTTTCCCATTTACATTTTTCCCATTTGCATTATATAGTAACTATATAACTCTCATTTGAAGAGGTAGTGCAGAGTAACAAAAATCTATGCCATAGAAGTATTGGGCTCTGCTTTAACTTGAAGACAATCATAGCCAGTATGTTTTAAATAAGATATTTGACATGTGCTCAAAAAGAATGATATAAACACTTTTAACTCCCACGCAGTGTAAGAACTAAACTGCCACTCAGAGTGGTAGTGTACATCGTAATTGGCATAAATCTCAAAGGCTGAGGCAGAAAGATCACAAGTTTAAGCTGAGCCTGGCCAGCTTAATAATTTAGTGAGAACTTGTCTCAAAGTAAAGCGAAAAAGGACTGGGGACGAAGCTCAGTGTAAAAGCCCTAGGTTCAGTGCCCAGTGAAACGGACAAAGGGAGGAAAGAAAAAAGCAAGGGAAGATGACCATAAAAGCTCTGTATGCCCCTTCTTAATCATTTCCTTATGGTGCAGTTTTTCTGAGTTAATACATCCTGAATTTTTGGGTTTGTTTGTTTACTGAGATAGGGTCTCACTGTGTAGTTGAGGCCTTGTACTCACTATGTAGCCCAGGCTGGCCTCAAACTCATGGTGATCCTCCTGTCTCAGCCTACCAAATCCTGGGATTATAGGTGAGCACCAACATACCTAGCTAAATCCTGATTTTGGGGGGGGGTGTCTGTTTTTGTGTCAGGGTCTCACTGCAGTTCAAGCTGGTCTTGAGCTTACTTTGTAGCCCATGCTGGGCTTGAATTTGTAATGATCCATGCATGGTTCAAATCCTGATTTTTTTAAACAGTCATATTTAATATCTATTCATACTGAGGCATGTAGCTCACATATTTTCACTATTGGGGAGTTTCATGGTGTTGGAACACTGTAGTGTTCTTATCCCCTCGTTGATAGTTCGGTGTGTCCAGCTTTTGATTATTAGAATACTGCTGTGATCTGTAAGTAAAGTGAAGGTGCCCAAAGTCCTTACCTGATGAAGGGATTAACAGTGATGGATCTGTATGATGAAATGTTAGTCAGCTATAGGAAAGAGTACAGGCCACGTACTGCCGTGTGGATGAGTCTTGAAAATGATAAGCCAAATGACAGAAGTGGTCAGGAAACAGCGCATTCCGTGTATATGAGGGCCAGACAGGCAGGTTCATTGACGTGGGGTAAAATGAAGCCGTGGGGGTCTTGCTGAATTCGCCTCCTGAAAGTGACTGGAACTGTGGACTCCACAAGTGAGTCAGCGCAGAGAGAAGGAAGCCTGGTTCTGGGGACTGGGCCCTGGGGGAGAGGGACCTACCCAGCTGCGATAAAGACAGCAGTGTACAGGCGCTTAGGACATAGAGAATACACTTCTAATGAAACTGAATTGTCGAAAAATGATGCCAGGCATCGTTACGGGTGCCTGCCGTAATCCCAGCGCCTTGAGGCAGAACTGCCTCGAGTTCAAGGCCCATCTGAACTGTCTAGCAAGATGCTGGGGCGGGGTGGAGCAAAAGAATGAATACCCCTCAAAATATCAGTTGTTCAGATTAAAGGTGCCTTCAAACAAGTGTTTTCCAGATTCCCTGTAGTTCACAAATAGAGGAATGCTTTGATCCTTATCTAGTAGTCTAATTCAGGGAAACAATTCTAATGAAGGTTATCGAAAAACACTGAACATCTTTAGTTTTAGTAAAAAAGAATTAGGAGCAAGTGAAAAGTAGTCTACCGGGGTGGACTGTGCGGAGCTGAGTGGTGATACGTGGAAAGCAGGGATGGCGAGGCCATGAGAGCGTCCGGTGGGTGGCACAGACAGCACGCGTGCCGTGCGGTCACCACCGCTCTTCTAAGGGGGCTGGTGAGGATCCAAGAAGTTGCATAGAAGCCAGGAATGAAGTTTATACCCAGTAGAAGACGTAGGAAACAAGTGTGTTTAGTATGTTACTAGGGGATTGTTCATCGACGGAATTCTCAGAGAAAACCCGCTTGTTTCCTCAGCAACTATTTTTGGATGTCAAAGCTTAAGCAGTTTTTCCTGTTTATACTTCTGCATCTCCAGGCTTTTTTATTCAGTCATCATTCATGCACCGAAAGATAAAGCTAAAGCTGTAGCTAGTGTTTCCTAGGCTGCCACTTAATATTCTGTTGGCATTATTTGAAGATTTGCGGGGCAGGGAGATGACAGCGGTGTTTCCTGAGAGCCTCGGTTTCTCCTGTCCATACCAAGCTCGCATGTGTGTTGTTTCTTAGAACCGAGATCCAGCACCGAGGCTCCGCGCCCCACTCTGAGAGTGACCTGCCGGAGCAAGAAGAGGAGATCCTGGGGTCCGACGACGATGAGCAGGAAGACCCCAACGACTATTGTAAAGGTAGGGGCAGGTGCTGCCGGGGAGGCCCACGCACGGCGCTCTCGGGACGAGCACGGTTTGCATGGCTTTCGCATCTTTTTCTCTAATATTTGTTCTTAGTTTCACTTCTGCAAGTCTAATTTTATATTAAGTGTTCACTTTTTTGTCTTTAAAAATTGTACAACATAGTTACCTTAAAAATTTTTCAGAAATACTGAAAAGAAAAGCCAACTGCAGTGCTGTACCCAAAAGTAGCCAATTGTGGTACTTTGGTATACAGATACTTCATTTATTTATCTACTTATTTATTATGTTTTGTCTTTTTGAGACAGGGTCTCACTGTACAGCGCAGGCTGGCCTTGCACTCACTTTGTAACCCAGACTGGCCCTGAGTTCTGAGCGATCCTCCTCCCTCGACCTTCTGAGTGCTGGGATATATAGATATTTTAAAAGAAATACCTGCTTACTACCCTCTCCCCTTTTTGAGATACTGGGGATTGAACCCAGTACTGAGCTGCATCCCCAGTCACCACGCACAGCCCCTTTCCGTTTTAAGTCACTGGTTGGCCAGGCTGGGCTCAAACTTGTGACCCCTGGCTCATCCTCCCAGAATTCTGGAGTTACAGGTGGTCACCAGCAGCCCAGAAAACTGTTAAAATACCTGATTCCTACCAGTTTGGGTAACCTGCTCAGGCCTTCCTGATTTTTATTTTTATTTTTATTTTTATTTTTATTTAGAGAAGAAAACTCTCCTGTTTCTTTTTTCAGCTAAATGGAAGTTGATATTCTCCTGCAAAATATCCTGATGCTGCAACTAGAATTACATTCATATGTTTAGAGAAATCTGTTGCAGTTTCGGAGGCAGGCTGTTGTGATCCATAGCCTTATTTTTGTTTGAGGATGAAGTTCTAAGAAACATCACTTCCTCAATTTAAAATATTATTTACTGAGATAATTCTCTGTGATGTGAGCTCAGTAACACTGGTGATTTAACTGTTAAAGTTTTCTACTGAACTGATTTCATAAAATAACCCTTTCACTTGATAAGAGGTATGTGGACCTTGATAAGGGGATGTGAGAGCCCTTTTCGAACTAATGAAGTGGCTGTGTCTTACACTGGTGGCTCTGACTGTATTCTTCGTCTTGTTTTCTTCCAGGAGGTTATCACCTGGTGAAAATCGGTGATCTGTTCAATGGCAGATACCATGTGATCCGAAAGTTGGGCTGGGGGCACTTTTCAACAGTGTGGCTATCATGGGATATTCAGTAAGTTTTGGTAGCCTTGTAAAAGAATTAATTACATGATGCTTCTATATTTTGGCCTGATTTTTCTCTAATCTGACTTCTTAATTAGACTTGTGGTTGTGACAAATTGCTTCCTTGACATGAAAATCAGATGTATAAAGTTATGTATATATGTGTGTATATATCTGCCTCGCCACTTTAGAAGCCTTAGAGCAAAATATTGATTAAATTAGTATCAGCAAAACACTTGTAACTCCCAAATTCAAAGCTTTACTGATGTTCCGTTGTATATAAATTAATAGTCATCTTACTGAAAGTAAAGTTTTTAGATTATGTTAGACCAGAATAAAGTTGTTTTTGTAACAGATTTGCCCTGCTATGCAGTCTAAAATTTTCTCTACATAAAAATTACAGGCAATAAAAATACCTCTTTAACATTGAGTTTTTACTTAAATATGCATCACCTGTCTTTGTTGGAATAATAATTGCTATCTATGCAGGTCACATGTTACCATTTGATTTTTGTGATTTGTTATTTTGGTTTTTTACCCAAGTAGGTTCTTCAGGCTTCTTCTAGGATAGGTAGTGCTTTTTTTTTTCCAGACAGGGTCTCACTATGCAGCTCACTTTGTAGCCCAGGTTAGCCTTGAACTGACAGTGATCCGCCTGCCTCAGCCTCCCAAGTGCTGGGACTACAGGTACTCACCACCACACCCCACTAGGATAAGTAGCTTTTAGCCTTGTGTCTTCTACTGTACAGATACATAAAGGGTAACTCTGATTTGGTAGTGTTTTTTCCCTTATTTACCCCCATTTCTTAATATTACTTGGGCTTGTGGGAGGTACTCTGAAGGTTGTGCTGTGCTGTGTTTTATGGTGCTGAGAGGCAAAGCCAGGACCTCGCACACACTGGGCAAGCGGCTTGTCATTGCACTACCTTCCCAGTTCAAAAGGGAGGTTTCAATCTAGAGAAATACTTCAGTGGCGAGATTATCTGACAACGGATTGTGTTCTTCGTGTACATGAGGTCTAGGCAGTTGTGGGAGTTAAGAGTTACAAGTGATTGCATAGAAGGTTTGGCTACAAGGAAACATGAGACCAGTACTGTATTAGTATTTGCCTACCACTTGCCACTTATAGCAGATTCTTAGCACGGGTAGGGCATTTAGTCTTTTTGTCTTTTTGAGGCAGGGTCTTACTATTCAGCTAAGGCTGGCCTTGAGCTCACTTTGTAGCCCAGGCTGGTCTCCAACTTATTCAGATCCTCCTGCCTCAGCCCCCGAGTGCTAGGATTATAGGCCTGCACCACTGTGCCCACCTCACTTTAGTCCTAATTACCTGTCTTTATTTCTTAGGGGAAAGAAGTTTGTGGCAATGAAAGTAGTTAAAAGTGCTGAGCATTATACCGAAACAGCACTAGATGAAATCCGGTTGCTGAAATCAGTGAGTATTACAGCCAATGTGTGAACTGCAGAGCATCATGCAGGTTTAACTAGACATAGCAGCTAGTAGCATCTTTAGCCTGGGTCAATTTTTATCTACTGGAAAGTTCTAGTATCCATAAGAAAATGTAGAGAAAGATAGTGTTTGCACAAGCATGTGGTGAGATTTGGTGTAATTAGAATTCTCTGTACACTGACACTCTAATGCCAGGCAAGTGAACCAGTTTTACTGCCAGATATGCTACTATGGTTAAGAGGAAAATGGGGTGGAAAATTTTTATCTTTACTGTGTTTTAAAATGTGTTATAAAACATGACAAAAAATAAATTCTATTTTCATTAATCCCATTGGTACTCGGAAAGGTAGGTAAATTTAATCAGAATGTTTATTTCAGTTCTGTTGTAGATTCAGATGTCAGCCCAGTAGAAGGAGCTGCCCTGGGTCTGTCTCTGTCCCAGGCTGCAGCCTCTCGGCTCTTTTTTTTTTTTTTTTTTTTTTTTTTGTCTTTTTCCTTTTTATTGGTACCGGGGTTTGAACTCACAACTGCCTACTTCCAAGGCAGGCACTTATGCCGCTGAGCTAAACCTCCAGCCCTCTCTCAGCTCTTTATTTCTGCTGCTCCGTCACCCTTTCTTTCCTGAGAGTGGTGTGTTGGGACAGGAGGGGCCTGTGCCCAGAGTAAATCAGTGTGTGCTGCCTTTTGCTGGGAGTTTTTCTATTGAAAATAACAATAAAAAACCCAGCTCGATTAACCATGTGCATGGGACTGTGAGTGACTCGTGTCCTGAGAAAGGGCCTCTGTTCCCTGAGCCCACTGGCCAGCAGGTGCTTCTGAGCCGTACTGTGGGGGGCCAGGTGGCTAAGTTAGGACCCAGGGTACAGATTTACAGAAACAAGCTCTTTCTTGGACTCGGTTTACTGCGTGGCTTCTCCCTTTCCCTGGGGCTTGTTTCTGTGCTTCCGCTCCTGCCTGATTCTCTCATCCTGACAGGTCCGCAATTCAGACCCCAGTGATCCAAACCGAGAAATGGTCGTTCAGCTGCTCGATGACTTTAAAATATCAGGAGTGAATGGAACACGTATCCTTTTCAGAATTTACTGTTTGTAAGTCATTAAATACCTTTATCCCAGGGAGTGGCCCTGGGGTTGTACAGATAGCACTGAAATCTGTAAACTGTAATAAAACTACTTCTGTATCCATCAGGGTTCATTAGTGGGACACATTGAATACTTTAAATGAATAATTACATACATACACACATGCGGGTGCACACACACACACACAATGTGTATAGTGTATATATATACACACAGTGTACAAACTGTGTGTGTGTGTGTGTGTGTGTGTGTGTGTGTGTGTGTGTGTGTACACACATGGGCACATGCACGCATGCATGGAGAGTCGTAACCAAGCTAGCCGAGAATGCCTACACTGTGTTGTGGTTATCATTAGAGTCTGTCTCCCATGTAAGTGTGCAGTTACTATGAGACTTTTTCACTGACTGGGAAAATTATAAGTAATGATGCCTCATATGCTTCCTAGTAATGATGGGCACCTGTGGTCCTAAGCAAGCACACTTTAACCATTAACTTGGTGTGAATTTCAAGGTCAGGGTTTGTTTGCTTACCAACAGCCTTACCATGTAGTTCAGGCAGGCCTTGAACTCACTATGTAGCCCAGGCTACCCTCAAACTTGGAGTGATCCTCCTGCCTCAGCCTCCTCATTGTTGGGAATATAGGCGCATGCCACCACACCCAGATAAAGGTATTTTTGAGACGTTGCTAGTGGTTTATGTCCACTGAGCCTCCTAATTTTTTTCTCCTCTTGTCCTTAGCCGTTCTCGCTGTTCATCTCCCGGCTGTCCTGGCTGCTGCTTGTTTGCAGTGGCTGGAGACCAGGAAGGCTGTTACTCGGGTGTGGGGAGGCAGGTTAAGCCGTTGACCTCAGCACATAGCACCCTGCACAGGGAGCTGGACAGCCACTTTGCAGCACCTCACTGTCCTTGGTAACATTTGAGACCGAGCTTTGTTACACATTCTTCCACTGTTGGCCTCTCCTGTCCTCTTATTTATAGTGTATCCTAAATGGGGCTCTGCTCAGTAGAGTTTTTAGCCCTTTGTTTTCTTTATACTAGATTTTTTTGATAAGGTCAGATGTTACTTTCTGCTGACTCTTGTCTTTTTGACCCCAGAGTCTTCTTTACCGTAAGCTGTTTGGCTCCTACGTTTTGCTCTGTAACTAATTGATTATGGCATTCGGTTGAGATCTTTTTTAAGCTATTAAGTAACATTTTATATCACTGCTTACAAATTTAAATGTTTGTAAAAGTGTAGTGCTTCTCAATAAAAGCTAAGAACATGCAACTAAAAACATAAAAAAAAAACAGCTTTAAAGTTCTATTTTTATGCTAAAAAACAAAAAGGTAAATTTCAAACATACAAAAGTAAAGTAGGGCCCAAGGGTTTAGCTCAGTGGCTCAAGTGTTTGCCTGATAAATGTGAGGTCATGAGTTAGATCCCTTGTACCAAAAAAAAAAAAAAAAAAAGAGTGAAATAGAGCCATATGTGATGTCATGTGCGTATTATCCCGTAGTCTGAGACCGGGAGATCATAAGTTCAAGCCTAGCCTGGAAACTTAGTGATCCGTCAAGACCTTGTTTCAAAATTTAAAAAATAAACAAAAATCTGGTTAGTTTTCTAGTTGGTGCAGAGGCTCTTGGGTTCAATATCCCAGTACCACAAAACAAAACAAGCCATATAAAAATGTAACCAACCACCACAGATCTATCACCATTTTACAAGTCATCAACTTAACTACCTTATCTTTGTCTATTTTTCCTGAGAGTTCTGTAGCTGACCTTAGATACATTATTCCACTCATAGTTATTTTAGAGACCTTTTTTTTTAAAATTTTCTGTTATATTGAATCCTCTATATATTGTTATATATAGTGACCTTTGCATTGGGCTGTAACCCTACGTGTTGTTTTATTTTGATGTCAAGTCTTACTAAGTCACCAGGCTGCCCAGACCTGGGCTTGAATTTGTGACCCTCGTGCCTCAGCCTCCCAGAGTGCTGGGACAGTGGGGCTGGGGCAGCACACCTTTTTTCCTTCGCTGTGCAGACCCAGGCTTGCCTTGAATTCATGACCCTTCTTGCTCCCTGAGCCCCCGAAGTTCAAGGTTACACATGTGCGTCACCCCCAGCCTTGGTCGCTGTCTTCGGACTGGAGACTTTCTTGTAATGAGCTCTGTCACTCCGCCATCTGTTTTCTGTGCACCTTGTAAGCTTTTTGTTCATTGTATTTCTGTAACTAGTTGATTTTTTTAATGGAATATTTAAATTTCTTTTTCATTTCCTTTTATATAGACAGTGTGATTACCACATGACTAGGCTTACCATCCTAAAGTGTTAACAGGATTGATTTGTTTTAGCCTTGTATGATTTGAATTTATGCCAGTTTTAACTTCATGTTGATAAATAGATTTCTCTTAACAGTTTGATACTTTTTTCGGTTATTGATGCTAAAGAATAATGTCTTTATACGTTACCTGCCCAGAGGTAGAAAGTCAGAGTCTTTCAAAAGATTCCCGTCTCTAGGGCTGGAGGCTGCTCAGCAGGAGATGGAGCCGCTGGCACGCAAGGCCAAGGTTCTGTAATGTCCTCACTTTACCGTGCAGAGAACATTTCTTGCAGGGCAGGATGACTCATTCTCTCAGCCTTTGCTTACACGTGAATGGCTTCGTTTCTCCCTCACTCTCAATAGAATGTTTTGCAGGATGTAGGGTTTGTTTGTTTGTTTTAGTATTAGGACTCAAACTCAGGACCTGGTGCTTGCCAGGCAGGCGCTGCACCGCTGAGCTGGGTCCCCAGCCCCTGTCTCTAGGATTTTTAACGGGCACTTTTCTTTCGGTGCTTGGAACATAATGACCTCACTGCCTTTTGGCTTCTAAAGTGTCTGCTGGCAGTCTTACTGAGGGCCTTGCTTTCATATAACAACAGATCGGTTCTCTTGCTGTTTTCAGGGTCCTTCATCTTTCTTGTTTGATTATGATGTAGCTTAGTGTGGGACTTTTTGTGTTCATCTCCCTTGGAGTTCACTGAGCATCTTGGATGTTTGAATTTGTGTCTTTCATCCAATGTGGGACGACCTCAGCCGCTATTTCTTTAGATGCTCTCTGCTGGGTTCTGTGTCTTTCTGGGATGGCACAGTGTGCGTGTTCTTGCTCTGCTTAATGGTGTCCCACTCGTTCCTCTGGGCCCTGGCCACTTCCTTCTGCTCATTGCTCAGGCTCAGCACATCACTTAGGTTTCCGTCTCTGACCCGGCTAATTCTCCCTTCTGCCTGCTCAGTCTGCCTTGGGAGCTCGTGAGTTTTTCATTTCAGGGATACTTCTCAGCTGCAGATTTTTTTTTTTTTTTTTGGTTTGTGTTTAGTTTTCTTATTCTTTAGACTTAATCCATATAGTCTTCTAGTTCTACAAATATTTTTAAGACCTCTGTTTTAACAACTGCAGATTTGCCATCGGATCTTGTTCAGCAAGTTTCTGTTGATTCATTTTCTTTCAGTGCACTGTACTTACTCTCTTGTGTTCCTTGTGGATTTTGTGTTTGCTGTTGAAAACTGAACATTTTGGATCTAAGGTGGTAATTCTAGAAATCAGATCCTGCCCCTTCCTCAGGGGTTGTTGTTTTTATTATTGTGGTTGTTTTGTTATGGTTTTTGATTTTTATTTTATTTATTACCTAGGCATTTTGAGACAGGATCGAATTCACTTTGTAGCCCAGGCTGGCCTTAGACTCACAGTGATCCTACTGCCTCAGCCTCCTGAGTGCCAGAATTACAGGTGTGCACCACCACGCCTGGCTTGGGATTAGCCTAAACTAAAGTTCTTGCCAGGTTTTTGTGAGAATAGGAGCTTTTCTGTGGGCAGGCAGTCACTTTCCCCATATGTACAGTTACTTTTGAATATTAAAGGCACAATACTGGCTCCCAAAGGGAATAAAGAGAAAATGGCACTGATTTAAAAAATCTTCTGACAGTCGAGGTGGGAGAGGTTTATAATTGGGAAAGTGAGAGTTTGCGCTCGTCTCTTTATACCGAACCTCTCTTCCTCCTTTGTGCTTACCTGAGCAACGTTACTGGGGCTCATTCTGGTGTTGATCAGCGTATTAGCGCAGACTTACTCTGCACAGTCCTCCCTAATTTGGCTGGAGGCCTCCTCTTCAAGCTGGTTCCTGTTTGTCTTGATTCCCTGTCCTTTTTTGCTGGAAGAGCACAGTGTTCCAAGCATACCCTGCCTAGTAGCCTTGGATGTAGTTAATTTTTTCAGGGGCTCAAGCTTTCGTTTACTGTCAAATCTTATTTAAAACAAGTATCTGGGCAGTGTGCATTGGTGTACGTATGCACTGTGTTTCCAGTATGTGAAGACCGTTCTGTTGTGGAAGGTAGCGGCCAAACTCCTAGCTCGGCATCCTGCGTTCCTGCCATGGCGTGATCAGATGCTCAGGTGTAAAGAGAACACAGGGTGGCGCTAGAAGGTTTGCAAGTTGGGGCTGGGGACTTAGCTCAGCAGCTTAAGTGCCTGCCTTGCAAGTGTGCAGTCATGAGTTGGATCCCTAATACTGATAAAAATGAAAAAGACCAAAAAAAAAAAAAAAAAAAGATTTGCAAGTTACAGTGCACACAACAAGTCAGTGTCCTGTTTTTGATAATGTTGGGGACTAGCTCAGTGGGAGAACACGTATCTAGCTGGCAAGAGTTTCATCTCTGCTCCCCCACAGGTAGGGGGAAATGCTGGCATTTTATGCAAGTCCTCCGCTGCCAAGAAGACTGTGTTTTTAGCTGGGCATGGTGGTGCATGCCTGTAATCCCTGCAGTCCAGAGGCTGAGGCAGGAGAATCACTGCGAGTTTGAAGCCTGCCAGGACTACAAAGTAAGTTTAACAACAGCCTGAAATTCATATTGAAACCCTGTCTCAACATCAAAAAGAAGAAAAAGAAAAAAAGGGTGTGTTTTTTCCTCCTTGGAGACTGAGCATGGCAGTTACTCCCCTGAATAGGAGGGAGGGATTTCTCAGCCTGAGGCTAGCGCTTTCCCTCGGCCCTGCGCGTGCCGCGTGCCAGTCCACTTTTCCCTTTCCCTGTCCCTTAGTAAGGTAAGCCTTCTGGTAAGCCGGCTCCCACACACATGGATGCTTTCACTGCCTGCAGCGTTAGACCCGAGAGTCTCAGGACATTCACAGGTGCACATTTTTCAGTCAACCTCTTATACAGAAAACAATAACCCAGGACACTTCCATTGAGTTGGGATCCACATCCTGGCTTTCCCACTTTTCTCATGCATCCTTTTTGCTTCCTTAATGAACTCCTAGATATCTGCATGGTGTTTGAAGTTCTGGGGCACCACCTGCTCAAGTGGATCATCAAATCCAACTATCAGGGGCTTCCGCTGCCTTGTGTCAAAAAAATTATTCAGCAAGTGGGTATCTGTCTGTGCTGTGGGGTGATATTAATATTAAAGGATCCGGAGTTTCCTGTTTCCCGTAGAATTTTATTTAGCCCACTGGGTTTATTGTATGTATTCTGTTTTTAAATGTTTCAATGTAATGATGTTGCCTTAGACTTATTTCCTGTAATAATTATGAGAGGCAGAAGCTGTGTGGGGTGCCTGACTGCGGAAAATTAGGTATTAAAAGTATGCTAGATATAGAATTGCTGTATCAAAGCAGTATCATTTCTTTATACACATTTTTTTTTTCTTTCTTTTTTAAGACAGGGTCTCGCTATGTGGTCCAGGCTGGCCATGTGCTCATTTTGTAGCCCAAGCTGATCTCAAACTTGCAACAATCCTCCTGCCTCAGCCTCCTGAGTATTGGGATTATAGGCGCATGCCACACAGCTATGTGGGCATTTTCTAAATGGCATTATGTGAACATAGAATTCAGTTTACTATCAAGGAAATACTACTTCAAGAATCAAATATTTTGTTTGAATAATGTGTCACAAAGAAATTCCAGACGGGAAACAAGAGACTTTGTTTCTTCACCAGTGAGGAAATCTATGCTAAAGGATACTGGTTGTCTTTCCTCACCTGCATTTCAGCATTTAAAGAATATAGTGAACATTTATTCTTAGTCTTTGTGATAAACCTAGTTAAAGAACATCTCCAAATAGAATTAGACTTGGGAACCTTGGAAGTTTATAATTAATCTTTCTGGGAAAGTTTTGTTGTGCTTTCATTTATTTATTGTCTGAAGCATGTTGCGCTGGGATCTCTTCCCCGAGCAGTTTGTATTTTGTGTTTGCGAGTCCTGGATCTGTCCCGTTCAGGTGTTACAGGGTCTGGACTATTTACACACCAAGTGCCGCATCATCCACACTGACATCAAGCCCGAGAACATCCTGCTGTCAGTGAACGAGCAGTACATCCGGAGGCTGGCAGCAGAAGCCACAGAGTGGCAGCGGTCAGGAGCTCCGCCACCCTCCGGGTCTGCAGGTACGGGGTGGAGCCGAATGCCGCGCTGCCGTTAGACGCTAGGGCAGACGTCTGCCTTTATTCTGTCACCAGGGGGTTAAACACCATTCAATCACTTAAATATGAAATATTTAAGAAATATATCTGCTTTTAAGAGACTTTATTTTCATTATTATTCCATATGAGAAGACTAGAGGTGGCACTGTCCCTTAGGTGTAGATATGTTGTATAGTAAATGGTAACTAACTTGTACCTGGAATGATGATGGGGCACTCAAGGGCCGGAGCAGGAGGATCAATCTTGAGTTTGAGCCATACATGGTGAGACCTTGTCTCAGAAATTTAAAAACCTTGCCAGGCATGGTGGCTCATGTCTATACTCCTAGCACTCTCGGAGGCTCAGGCAGGAGGATCCTTACAAGTTTAAGACCAGCCTGGGCTACAAAATGAGCTCAAAACCAGCCTGAACTCTGTATAGCAAGACCCTGTCTCAAAAAAGACAACCCCCCCCCAATCCAAAATTAAATAAACAAATAGTGGCTTATTTACGGAGTTTTTTTCTCTTTTGGTTTTTTCAAATGTGCTTAGCTCTTACTGTGATCACAGATTAGCAGTTTGCATGGGACAAGGTTAGAAGTTTGGGTTTAGCAGAGGTGTGGTCAGAGCTAGTTTGAATCCACACTTCACTATCCCTGCTGATGTTGGCTGAATTAGTAGACTTCAGTTTGCCTCTTTCAGGAGTTAATAGGATTAACTTTTATGTTGAACTAGTGTAAAGTATGCTTGCTCTGATTATGGTGATTCTTTACTTATATAAGTTTTAATAGTTTAATCACATTTGAGGAACTTTCTTGATACTTTAACGTCAGAGCCTCAGTTATCAGACTTCCTTTTAAAGAAAGATTGGAGAAAGAGGAAGCAGGAGAGTGGTGTTGATAGGTATAGTTCCAGCTTTGCAAAATAAAAGTCCATGGCATTTAGGATCTAGTTAAAGTACGTCTGAGGCAGGCACGCACTGTGACCCGTAATGCACTGTACAGCGATGCAGCAGATTCCTGTGGCTCTTGATGCTTCCTAGCTTAAAAAAGCTAGCACCTGGGAAGGAGTCCTGGCTATGAATGAGGAGCGGGTCTTAGCACTTGCTCTGTCAAGCCCCAGGTGGGGATGGAAATGGGTGGCTTTAGCAACCTCAGTAGAACAGACCAGAATGGGAACTTGGTGGGTGGTTAAGTTTGGCAAATTTTGTGTGCATTGTTTTCTTTGAAAATAAAAAGAATGTAGTGTCTACTGAGGTGGTCACTTATCATTCTGATAGAGTCTTATCTAAGCAGGAGGCTGTGTTGCCTGCCACTGCTGACTTCTTACTTGGTCTTCTTTTCTTTTCAGTCAGCACTGCTCCCCAACCTAAACCAGTAAGTATAAGGAGTTTCCCTATTTAATTTTGATCAATGGGCTGTGAGCATGGATTCTTCCGTTATGGTCACAATTTGTTTAGAGATTGTAAACCAAAAGGAAAAAATATTCCTGTGCTTCTGTAATTTTTTCCAGTAAATTCCCATGCATCTTCAGTATTTTTACACTGGCTGAGGTTTCTGTAAATTTGAGTGTCTGAGAGTAATTCCCCCTACACACACAGACTGCTCAGAAAACCAACATTTATTTGTGTTTTGTTTTTATTCGGTTTCATAAGAATATCTGCAGCTTTTAAGGTAACAGATATAGGGAAAGAGTGGAATTTAATTAGGAAATAATTAAAGTTAGTAGTTATCTCCAACTAGGAGTAGTGAATTAGCCACCTGAAGGCTTTTATTTGTTTGTAATCTCCGCCCAGGCTGACAAAATGTCAAAGAATAAGAAGAAGAAATTGAAGAAGAAGCAGAAGCGCCAGGCAGAATTACTAGAGAAGCGAATGCAGGAAATCGAGGAAATGGAGAAAGAGTCGGGCCCTGGGCAAAAGAGACCTAACAAGCAAGAAGAATCAGAGAGTCCTGTTGAAAGACCCTTGAAAGAGAACCCAGCTAATAAAATGACCCAAGAAAAACTTGGTATAAATAGAGCATCACAAAACAACACTTCATGGCACACTTTAACATTAATTCGTTGTTGTTATAATGTAGTGGTCTCCTACAGACATCTTTGGGGGTGTCCGTACAGGAAGCCAGATCTTGTTGTACTGTTAGGCAGGTAGTGGGCCAGTGTTACTCTTAACTGTTCTCAGGAATTGGGTCATAACTTACTTTAGCTGTTGGGTAAGGGTCAGACGATCTTTGTCCTTCCATAAGTAAGTTTTAGATGTTTGGTCATGTTTTTATGTCACTTAGTATCAGTTCTAGAAAATGTTGTAATCTAGTGAGAATTGTCCTGTTCTTTCACTCACACATGCACATACATCTTTTTTGTTTGTTTGTTTGTTCCTTAGAAGAGTCGAGTTCCATTGGCCAGGATCAGACACTTATGGAGCGTGGTGTAGAGGGTGGTGCAGCAGAAATTAATTGCAATGGAGTAATTGAAGTCAGTAATTATACTGAGTACAGTAATAAAGAAACATTGAGGCTTAAAGAGGATCTCCATAATGCTAATGACTGTGATGTCCAAAATTTGAAGCAGGAACCTAGTTTCCTAAGCTCCCAAAATGGAGACAGCAGCACATCTCAAGAAACAGACTCTGGTAAACCTGTGGCCTCGGAGGTGCCAGATACCATGGTGTGCCAACCTTCCGCAACTGGAGACCAATCAGTCAGTGAACAGGACATCAGCCACCTTCAAGAGAGCATTCGGGCAGAGATCCCCTGTGCAGAGGAGCAGGAGGAAGAAAGGAATGGACCACTGGACAACAAAGGTACCTGCAACATGTACTCCCCAGCGCACACTCCCCGCGCAACACATCTGTGCAGTTCTAGATTGAAGTCCACCTTGCCAGGAGGTGGCCACGCTGCCCTCCACACGCAGATCTGTAGGTGACTTTCAGTTGTGTTCATCAGGGATGGGTACACAGCAGTTCACTGGGTCCTGTGAGCCCAGGTGGTGTTAACTGTACCAACTGAGGATGCTGCTGTGTTCTTAGAAGTTTTATTTTACATTGCCAGCTGGGGGCCTTCTAGAACTCTTATCTTGGAGAACTTCACTACCCTTTGGGTATTTCTGTATTTATTGAACAGTTTTATTGATGGTACCTGTTGTCTGTAGGAAAATCCACTGCTGGAAATTTTCTTGTTAATCCCCTTGAGCCAAAAAATGCAGAAAAACTCAAAGTGAAGATTGCTGATCTTGGAAATGCCTGTTGGGTGGTAAGTTACCCTTGTCTCAGCCTGTTTTGAAGTCACTATGCATGAGTGAAGACTTGGGCTTAAGCTAAAAGAAAGCGTCTGCAGTTTGTGTGTGGGCTCACTGAACATGCTAGTGACTGGGTTTTCTCTTTTAACCTTTTATTATGGAGAAGTTGAAATACATTTGTGAAAGTAGGCATGGTGCCCCCCAAAGCTACAAGTCCCTATCACTCTGACTCAGCAGTGTCATTTCTTGGCCAGTCTGATTTCATCCCTCCTCTTGTTTACTTTCAAGTCCAGCCTATGATTATGTCCTCCTTCACCCCATTCCCGTTTCCAAAATGGGCTTGAGACCTAAAAATTATAACCAATTTTTAATTCAATTAGTATGTTCTAGACACTTAGATATCAAGAATCAACACAAAATTCAGTTGGTTATATAATCGCTACATATTTTTAATAGCTCTTTGTGTTAAGACTCTTTGCTTCAGAATCTTTCGTCTTTAGGATGTGTCCTAGATACAGAACTGTTGAATGAGTTGTTTTTTAAAGGTATTTGATGTGTTGTACTGTATTACTTCTTTTCTTTTTTGTTTTCTTGAGATGTGCCTTGCTGAGTTGCCCAGGCTGGCCTCGAGCCTGAGATCTTCCCCATCCCATCCCCTCCCCACCCCTTCCTGCTGAGTGGGTGGGATTACAGGAATGCACCCGGTGCCTGACTTGCTTAGTTTTTTACCATGTATAATTACATGTAATTACAAATGATTACATGTTACATATTTTTTTATTTAATGTCGTATTTTCCCAAAAGAGTATATGAGTTTTACTACCTTTAACAAGTCTGAAAAGTATTTTTCCTCTCCAGTCTTCAGGTTAAATGATGCTGTTCTCCATTCTAATTGACAGATTATTTTACTAGTAGTTTTGTTTTGTACTATGTACCTAGTTAGGAAAGTTTTGGGAGTCCATTTTTTGAAACCTACAATAGAATAGTTTGCATGACACTACTCAGAGAGCTCTGTCCAGACCCCAGCAGGAACTCCTATGCAGTATGTACTGGGAACTTCTTCTCTCCTCTTCTCTCTGCTCATCTCTCCTCTCCTGTCCTCTCCTCTTTTCTTCTCTCCCCTCCCCTCTTCTTTTTTTCTTTTCTTTTCCTTTCTTTCCCTCTTTCAATTTAAGTCACTGTGTAGCCCAGGCTGGCTTCCAGCTGGCAGTGATCCTCCTGTCTCTGCCTACTGAGTGCTGGGAGTACAGGCCTTGCTCTTTATTGTGGAATATTATGAGAAGCTCTTAGGAGAAATAACATTCCAGGGATGTAGAACAGCTTCTCGAGTAATGAGTGTCAGCCCCCTACAGTAGCATCCGGGCTAGCCCCTGTGTGTTTTCCCTGGGTAGCTGCAGCGATCTCCACTTGCCCCTGGAGGAAGAGTAAGTGGAAGAGTAAGTCAGATATTCTCTAGCTCTTGTAGTGACCCCCCTCAAGCTGAACACCGGAGTGCCTCACGGCCCTGACATCACCAAGCAGAGAGCGCTTTCCGTTCCATCTGCCTGGCATCCTCTTCCCAAATCCTAGGATGCCGTCTTCCAGGGAAACCTCTCCCACGTTCTGAACATACACCTTTATCATCTTCCTGTGTGTTTCCTGTCTTCCCCTCTCTCCGCAGTGCAAAGCACTATCTTGATGCTGCTTAGTACACCCCTCAGGAAGGTGCGTATCATTGTGTGGTTTTTTCCCTGCTGTTTTCTGTAGTGCTCAGAGCAGTGCCTCATACACAGTGGATACTCAGGTGAGTTGTAGAGAAACATCAGTCCTGTGAGGAATGTCCCAGGAGGTGTACACCTCAGTGCTCTGTGGCTTTTTGTCCACCACCTTCTGGCACATTTTGTTTTATTCTATTCAAATCTTTCCTGCCCTTTTGCTCAGCAAAGGGGACCTCTCTCCAGTTCTTACAGGCCTGTCGCTCTCCGTCTCTGTCACAGTGGTACCCCTTCTCCCTCCTCACTCGCTGCTACAGCAGATGCACGGACGGCCCTGCCCTGGGCCCTGGGACTCACTTGAGAACATGGCATGGGTGTCTCCACTTGCTGACCCTGGTCTTAACTCACTGTCCAGTTGTCTTTTCAGCATTTGATATTTGGTAACAGACTTGAACATAATTTTCAGGGTGATTTTTTTTTTTTTTTTAACTTTTTATCGATCGGTACCAGGGATCGAACTCATGACCACCTGCTTGCAAGGCAGGTGCTTATGCCACTGAGCTAAATCCCCAGCCCCAATGCTTCCTGTTTTAAAAACCAGTTTCATGACAGTGAGAGACACATTGCCATTAATTAATTCCCCTCGTGATGCTTGCCTGGAACACACTTGCCACCCTCCTGAGTGTCTTTAGTTGCACTGACATTCTGCCTCAGGGCTCTGAATTGACTCAAAAGCATTCACCTTTGGTGGTCATTTTGGCTTTCGGAGCCCAGTGACTGAGGTGGTGAGGGTGCAGTGCAGAGGCTCAGGAGCCTGCCTTCCTGTGGCGGGACTCAGCAGCAGGTGGCACCTTGGAAAGTGGTGCTGGACACTTTGTAATTCCTTCTTTTCTTGCCCCCCAATTCTAGTCCTTTCTTCCTGGAAAATGGTGCTTATCTGCTACCCCTGCACCAATCATCCGTATTCCAAATATCATACAGTTTTTGGCTAGACAGTCATGTCGTGATCATATGGGGATTCGCATGCTGTCTTCAGATGAACGGAATATATATTACTTGTTTCTTTTCCTTTCTGCACAACATTGTTTGGTTTGCTTAGTTTCTTTACAATATTTTTCACTTATTTCAGTCCCATACTTTTACTCAGTGATATGCAGGAGATCTAACCCAAAAACTCAGACGTGCTGGGCTGGGACTCCAGCTTCTGTTCTGAGGCTTGGTGCTTTCTGAGCCTTTCTCTCCTCAGGAGGCTGTCAGATCATTTCACAGCTGCTTCCCGGGGCCGTCTCTTTCCACCCCCATGCTAAAGATCTGATGTGCCTTTGACTAGGGAGGCTGCGATTCTTAGTGTGAGTCTTTAAGTTTTAAAATTCTCTTTACTTCTGAAATGCCATTACTCAAAGGTCAGGCCATTGTCCCTTTCTCTCCGTTTTCAACATTACAAATTATTAGCGTTTTGATGTATTTTCTGGACAGATTTCTCAGCTTTTTCTTACAAGCCTCATTGTTTTCATTTTCCGATTATGTTTTTACTTTCTAAGAATTTAGGGTTTTTATTTCTTAGAAAGTAATTTTCTTTCTTTTTATCTTTCAAAGGGTGTTTTTCGTTTCTTGAGGTTTTCTTCCTGTATATACCTATTGCCTTGTTTATGTTTAGGGTCACTAAACAGAAGAGCATCTCGCCAAATGGATGAAGTAGGTCTTGTAGACTGTTATTCACTGTAAAAGATGTGTTTGGAGCTGGGGGTGGTGCCTTACATGGGGAATCCCAGCACTTGAGACTGAGGCAGGAGGATTGCCAGAAGTTCGAGGCCAGCCTGGGCTACTTAGCAAGACTGTCTCAGAAAACCGAACAAAGGGAGATGTGTTGGGGCTGTTTGTTACCATCCTCACGTGTCAGGGTCTCTGACGCTTTCCTCTTGGGTTGGTCCTATTCCCCGGAAAGCCTTACCATCTGCACACCTCCCACGCAGAGAGAACTGCCTGGCTCCTAGTGTTCTGGGAGCTGAGGTAAGCAAAACGAAGTTTCAGCACGGGTAGTAGTAAGGTCACTGTGCTTTCTAGCTTTCAGAATAGTTCTCTCCTTTTGGCTGTGGGTCTCCTCCAGAGAATAACCCAAGCAGCCCCTCGGGCCAGGGAGGGGGTGCTAGCCAGCATCCTGTGCTGCTTTTTCCAGAGCTCTGCTTCACAAAAGGTGTTTTAGACATTCTTGCCTACATGGAATCCCACCCTCACTGCTGCCTCCAGCGACACGCAGATACCACCCTGTCCCGAGCAGGGTGGGCACAAGTGCTGGGATGTAAAAAGTGACTATTTGGGCCAAAAAAGCCTTTGCCGTTGATCCTTAGGTTTGCCACCTTCTACATTTTATTGCTTTCACTTTGCTACTCGTTTTTTTGTGAGTTTAAGTCGCTATACTCATTAGCCAACCCCTCTGTTTTCCTAAAAAAAAAAAAAAAACTGCTTCCCTCTCTGAGTCTCCACCTCAACCAGCTCTAGGCTTTGAGGTCAAAGTTCTTTTTTTAGCCTTTTGGTCTCCCCATATGTAACTACTGAATTTTTAAATTGTGCTTGTTTTAGTGAATGTCCTTTGATTTAACTCTTCCCTTTCCTAGTTCCACACCATTGTTCGGATTTTCGGGACTGTCTTTAAGTCTGGCTGCCAGACAAAGTTACTGACATGATGCTCTCAGCTGTCATGCCAATACTGACAGTGCATTCTTTTATTCATAAAAGTGCAGTAATGCTCTTGTGTCCACGAGATGAAATCTGCCTGATAGGTGCTTGTTGCTCTTCTGGAGAAATAGCGTTACCCTGTACAGCCCTGATTGACCCTGATTTTCTACCTGAAGCTCTCTCTTCCCAACTCTCCCTCTCCACAATGCAGTTCCTTGATTTTTTTTTTTTTAATTTCTCTTTGTCCCTCCCTCTTGCTCTACCTTTCCCCCTCTCCCCACCACTCTTGGTCTCCCCCTCCATCTCCTGTCCCTCCTCTTTTCCTTCTAGTACTGGGGAATCAAACTTAGGACCTTGCACTTGCCAGGCAGGTGCTGTGCTACTGAGTTATATCCCCAGATGTGTTTTTTTGAATTTCAACAAGATTAGAGACTGTCAAAAAATAAAGAATTGTCATCATGACTTTCTTATAAAGACTTTAATAGTATGTGGAATTTTTCCTGTGCATGATTTATTTTAAGCTTTTTTTTTTTTGTTGTCTTTTTCATTTTTATCGGTACCAGGGATCGAACTCACGACTGCCTGCTTGCAAGGCAGGCGCTTATGCCGCTGAGCTAAATCCCCAGCTATTTTAAGCTTTTTTATTATTCATTTATTTACTTGTTATGGAAACTGTCAAACATACAAGAGAAGGAATAGAGTAGAGTGGTAAACTCCTGTGCCTTTGTGCTGTCACCCAGCAATCGTCAAGGCTGTATTCACCTGTAACTCTTTCATTTTGTTGGAAGCATTTCCCAGGCCCCTTATTTCATACACAAATATGGTTTTTTGAGAGATTATTCTTTTTGGTAATTGACACCACTGTCACACTTGAGAAAGAGCAATTCAGTTGGTTTCCATGGTTATCTCAAAGGAATGCTTTTAACTTTATGTGTCTGAAACCGGATCCAAACAAAATCCATCAATGCAAAGCAACGCATCCTGACTCTTAATTTTTGTTTTTGGTTTTTTGAGACAGAGTGTCACTAGGTAGTCCAGGCTGGCTTTGAACTTCCAATAATCCTCCCTCAGCCTCCCAGGTGCTAGGATTAGAAGTTCAGTCACCCTGCCCAGGTTTAAATTACTGTCATGTGACAAGTTTCTCCCTTTTAGGGAGGTTTAGCTCAGAAGCACAAATGTTTGCCTGGCAAGTGCAAGGTGGTGAGTTCCATCCCTGGTACCAGAAACAGAAGTTTCTCCCTTTTATACATTTTATTTACTCATAAAACTCCCAATTTTTTTTTCTTTTCTGAAACTCCCAATTGATTTGCTTAACCTTAAGCTGCTTTGCTTAATATATTGTCTATTTTTCTAAGATTCACATTTAGTTGTTTGAGCTTTAATTTACTAATTTTGGCAAATGAGCAACATAACTTTTGTTTGAGGTAATAATTTTTCATTTTCTATGAAACTTGTTGCTTACCAAATCTCTTTATCCAACTAAATATGTCTCAGTATTAAATGGAGATTCACGTGTTTACAAAGGGAATGTAGAGGGGCAGTGAGTGTGGCCAAGCATTGTTTGGAGCTCACATCAGAGACATCTGAGAAGTTAACTGAATAGAGCCTTTGTTTGGGGAAAAGAGATAATTTACTCCATTATTAAGCAGTCCTGACTTGTTACTTCTTAGAATATGAATTTTTAAGTATGTTTCCTTTCCATTTACTCAGCACAAGCATTTCACTGAAGACATTCAGACCAGGCAGTATCGCTCGCTGGAAGTGCTGATAGGCTCTGGCTACAACACCCCGGCTGACATCTGGAGCACGGCGTGCATGGTAAGGCGCACTCCCCCGTGGCCGTCGCTCGCTGGCCACGTGAGGGTTGCAGACCTTGCCCTTTTGCTACTTTTGGTAGATCAGCATGTAAACGAGCAGGAAAGGAACTGAGGGTGACTTAACAGAAACTGTAAGTCCTATACCTGGAGAAATCGGAATTGTAAATAATTGCTAAAAGGCATTGTTGGTTTCGATTGGGAAATGAACATGCCCATGCTATTTAGCGTTGATCCCTTTACAGAATTGAGCATCTTCACAGACATTTTTGCATCTTTACAACTCATAAGGTTTGAAGCACAATCATTCATGGATTCATAAATGCTTCTGTGTCCCTAGCAAGTAACTGCTCGGGTTAGTAGGTGCTAAATGATTTCCCACAAGTAACCTTCCATAGGAATGTGGTATGTTGTCCTTGAAGCGGAGTGTACGCCTCGTGACCCCTCCTCCTTTGCCAGTCTGTCATGGACATCTGTTTACTCATTTCTCTCCCGCATGGTATCACACTGGTGGCGTCTGTTTCCTGTGTTTGGCCAGCATGTTTTGAGTGGGTTCTTGCAGAGCATTTCTAATGCTAACTACCCAGGGTTTTGCAAAGCTGATAGGTCAGTGCATAGTTTCTCACTAGAATGTCTTCATTTCGAACTCTGGCCTCCAGTTCCGGAATCCACAAGCCCCTGCACTTCGCACCAGCTGGCTGTGAAGTCAGAGGCTCCCACTACCCTCTCAGAAAGGGCTGGACTTACAGCTTCACTGTTAGAATGCAATACAAGATGAGGCACACAGGGTGAGGTCTGAAAGGGTACCAGATGGGAAGCTTCTATGTGCTCAGCCTCTGTCACCTACCGAGGAGTTCACCCAAGCTTCAGGTGTTAGTGCTCCTGAGATTTCATTAGCAGGATATGATTGTCATATTGACAGTGTGACTGGCTTGGCCCCATCCCTCTCCTAGAGACTGGGAGGCCTGGAAGCCCCAGCCCTCTAATCTCGTACTCGGTCTTCTCACCATGAGCTTGCCATGAGGCAGCTTATTAGTGGAAACTTAGGCAAGGGCCAAGAGTGCATAGCATTGTGATGAACTCCAAACACTTGAAATTCTAAGGCTCTAAAGGCTTGCTTCCAGGAAACAGGGATAAAGACCAAACAGTATTTTTATATGACAGTAATTAATATTAACAACCAATCAGATGAATTAACAGAAATACACTAACCCCTCAATGAGTATTTAGAAATATTAGAAAACTTGAGAAAAAGATCAAATTGGCAGCTCCAAACTATCTTAGTATATGTGCTGCCAAAGCCAGCAATTCTCCAAACTGTTCTAGTAGTCCAAAGGTCCTTTCATTCCTGAAAACCTTTTCTCTTTAAATGGAGTGGAGTTAAGACCATGTTGATTTGGTATGACCTTATATAAAGCGCTTCGTGGTGGTATATACCTCTCAAGTTAGAGGTCTGCCTGAAGTTAGGTTAAGTTTGAGTAAATAAGCACAAGATAAAAGGATATGGGGGGGGGCAGGGATTTAGCTCAGCGACATAAAGCGCCTGCCTGGCAAGCACGCTATCCTGAGTTCAATCCCTGGTACCGAAAACAAAACAAAGAAGAGGATATTGGGATAAAATCTGTTGGCTAGAGGAAAAGTCGTAGGTGAAGAGATGCCACCATCTCCAAAATAGAGTTTACAGACGTAGCCGATTCGTTGTGAAGGCATCGCAGTGCACACTTACTTACAATCCTAGTGCTCTGAGAGTCCGAGGCAAGCGGACAATAGGTGAGCCCAGCCTGGGTAACTTTATCAAGACCCTGTCTCAAATTTTTAAAATAAGAAAGGGCTGGGGCTATAGCTCAATGCAAAGGCCCTGAGTTCAAACCCCGGTATTATGAAAAGAAACAAAGAGGAGGATTTGCAGAGATACGGTTCTTAGTAATGGGTTATTTGCTACAAGAAGGTGAAGACTTTGGCTTGTTTTTTGTATTCCATATCCCGATTTTGTGTGAGGGCAGGAGGCCCTGCTTGTTACAGTTCTCAGTGTCAGGCAGAATGATAAAAGAGGAAAGAGCCGCCTTCGCCCACAGTTCTGGACCTGCTGATGTGGAGCTTTCTTGAGCAAGGAGTAGAAAGCCCTTACCTGATGTGAGGTAATACTGTGAAAAATTTGAGCCCTATTTGTTTCTTACACTTCTCTCATTCTGCCAGTAAACATGGAACATGTTGCTTTTATTGTGGTCAGAGATAAATCCTGGCCTATCAGAGTGCCCAGATAGATCATCCTGCATCTGGTGCAGACATTGTTAGAAAGGTTGGAGCCCTTTCTGAGGGATCGAGCGACAAGCTGAGAGGCTGCTTACCACGTTCGCGGTTGAAGGCAGGCTAGGAGGGCAGTTGTGAAAAGGGGCAGTAGACGATGTCTGTGAGGACCATTAAGAGCTAAGTATGTGCAGACATTGGGCACAGGGCGCAGGGAGCAGGACACCTGCCTGATGGGTGAGAGCGTCTTCTCAGACCCTGGGGTCTCCTCCTCCCCTGCAGCGGGAAACCGTGCACCCAGGCACCTGTCTTTCCCTGAAGTTCCCTTCTTGAAGTGATTACGTTCTGGAACTTCTCCTTTCCTTTTCAATCTTTGGAACGCAGGGCAAGATTTGTGAGAAATTCTGTGAATGCAGCTATAGGCATTTAGAAGACAGCAAATTACATACCCTTTTCTGTTCCACAAGTTGCTGAGTGACAACAATAAATAACTAGAGAGTTAAACAAAACTGGAGAGGACACAATTTTAATTTTTATTGAAGAATTTGGAGCAATAGAAATGGAGCAAGGAATGGGAGCAGGGCCAGGGAAAGCTCAGGGGCACAGGCACCTGCCTGGCAAGTACAAGGTCCCGAGTTCCGTTCTTGGCTTAGAAAAGGAAAGAAAAGAGGAAAGGGAGCTTATCCTGTTTTATCTGTCATGAATTTGTAAGGCCGCTAAAAGGTTGTAAATTATCAAAATTCATAGAGTTTTTCCTTCACCATCACCAATCCCTAATCATCTGCCTTAAAAAAGGCAGAAATGTGTGTTGTACAGTAACTTTTCAGATTTCACCAGATTGTCACGTTTTTTCAAGAGCAAGAAGTCACAAATCTAGATAGAATATCTTTTTTTTTTTTGGTCTTTTTCATTTTTATCGGTACTAGAGATCGAACTCATGACTGCCTGCTTGCAAGGCAGGCGCTTATGCCGCTGAGCTAAATCCCCAGCCCCTAGAATATCATTTTTAATCAGTAATATTTCTAGTTCTTCTTACATAAGTTTCTTATCCTACACATGGTAAAGCGCATAGGTTTACTTTTGTTACTGCTGTTGCTGCTAAAGAGAGAAAAACCTAAAAAATAAATGCATCAGCGAGTCTGTGACTTTCACAGGTAGCTTCTGTAATAAAATTGGTGGAATCTGTGTGAGAGAGTAGCTTCCGCAGTTGGTATGTGCAGAAAAATCTGGATTTCCAGGCACAGTTGGTGGAAGGGAAAAGCCAGCCAAGTGCTGCACTTGGGGGTAGTGCCGAGAAACGCTCTGCCCTGGGAGCAGAGGCCTTGGGAGAGGGCAGGAAGGGCGCCAGGAGGCCGGCAGCCGGCTCGGCCCGCCCTGTAATCTGTGCCGAGAAGCGTGGTGCTGCAGGTGGCTGGAGTAAGAGCTCGCTCTTTGCTTCTTCCTCTCCACCTGGCAGCAGGTTCTGTTTCCTGCTCTCAGAATGGATCCGACACTTCTTACCTTTCCCGTTAGCCTGTTACTGCCCAAAACATCGCTGTTAATAATGGATCAGGACAAGGGCTCCTCATTTCTTCCTGTTTCTAGTTTCTCATGTGAGAGCCTGAATGACCTTAATCAAATTATGTTAGTCCCCCTGTTAGGCCTTGTAATTGCGTATATTCCACTCAAAATCACTCTTTTCCTAGTCATGCCAACCCATCTCACCTTGGGGGCCGCGGTTTGCTCCTTCCCTGGACTGGTGCAGCTGTGGGCTCAAACATCACCTCCTGAGATGGACCCTCCCCTGGACCGTGGCAGTGATCTTTTAATGTGCTTTTGGTAATATTTTAGCTTTTTTTGTTTTGTTTTGTTGGTGCTAGAGATTAAACCCCACACGTGCTAGACAGGCATTTCACCACTGAGGCACGTCCCCGGCCACGTGGGAGCTTGTTGGAGATTTTTGTGTATGCATTCATCCAGAATATTGGGCTACGATTTTCCGTCTTGTAATGTTTCTTTTCTGCTTTGATACTTGGACAGTGCTGCCCTCACAGTTTTGGGACTGCTCCATCCTCTCTGTCTTTCTGGATGATTTGAGGGCCGTAGCAGTTCTTTAACTGTTCAGTAGAATTCAACAATAAGGGGGCTGGGGATTTAGCTCAGCGGCATAAGCACCTGCCTTGCAAGCAGGCGGTCATGAGTTTGATCCCTGGTACCGATAAAAAGAAAAAAAGAAAAAAAAAAAAGGATTCAACAGTAAAGCCAGCAGGCCCTGGGCTTTCCTTTGATAGGAGATTTTAAATTCCTGAGCCAGTGTCCGTCCTGGTTATTGTCCAGGTGCCCTGTCTCTTGGTGACTCAGCTTTGGTAGGCTGTGGTGTCTAGGGATGTGTCCACCTGTGGCTTACCCAGTTTGTTGCTGTAGACTGTCACCGTGACCCTTCCTTTTGGAGGTGGGACTGAGACAGACTCTTGTAACTTTCATTCTCACTACTGAGCTCCATTTATAAGCGATTTTGAAAAAGCACTGGTTTCAAAAAAGATAAATTTCATGTTGAGTAAGAAATAGTGTGTTTCTGTGCCTGCTGAGACTTGAATCTTCAGCGTTTTTCAGGGTAGAAAAGGTGTGTTCTCTCCTGGTGCACTCCAGCTTCATAGAGAACTGAAGAATGCGAGGTGGGCTCTGCCTGACATCCAGCAGTTAGAGACCAGTGGTGGCTCCTAAGGCTCCTGCTGTCCGGCTCTGCTCTGGCCAGTGGCACAGGCGGGCAGTACGGTTTGAAGGAAGGTGGCCTCATCATGAACATGCCTGCCTTTCTTGAGGTGACTGGGATCACTTCTTCCCATCAACTCCTCCAAACCCCATCTGTGACTGTAATTGCACTTTTATATTAGTAAGACCTGTTTTTATGCGTTTGGTCTTTGGTTTTGTCATTTGTTACAGTATTGGTGCTGCAGATTGAACCCGGGACCTACACGCTACATCTCCTACCGCCTTATTTTTTTTCTTAATTTTTTCCTTTTGAGTCTGAGTACAGGTAACTAAGTTATCCAGGCTGAGCTCAAACTTTCATCCTCCTGTCTCAGCTTTCCAGAGTGCTAGGATTACAGGTGCAGGCCTGACTCAAAAGGCCATTCTTAAAACTGCTATCATTTTGTTTTGTTTTGTTTTGTTTTGTTTTTGCTTTATTTTTTTGAAAACCCATTTGTGATCAGTGAGAAATTCCTGCTGCCCTCACCGTCTGGATGCTGTCTGTGCCATACGTCTTGACATTTACTCCAGAAGAAGCCCCTAAAGCCCCGAACACTTGTCTGTGTGCAGGGCTTTTGTGTCAGAGGTGTGTGTCTTTCCCTGGCTGATGGTACCAACCTGCTGGTCCCGTGGAGGAGAAGGCTCAGAACTCTCCGTGTGGTACAGTTCAGGGTTGTTTTCCTACAGGAGTTGAAGATTGCACTTGACTGCCAATATGAACATAGATGCCGGACTGGTTGTGCAGTGCAGAATTTCCATGAGAAATTATAATGCCAGAAAGATCTGCTCTTCTCATGAATGATTTAGCGACCCACAATCACTTTAATTTCCAGTTGTACCCTTTTCTGACCAAAAAGAAAAACTAAAGAGGGCTGAATTGCTCTGGGAATTTTGTTCGCTGGCTTGTTTTTCTTTTTTTTTTTTTTTTATTTAAGGAGAAAAGAAAAAAAAACAGTGAAGGGGTACAAGTTATACAGATTTACAGAAGAAAAAAAATGCGCAGTAGGAAATCACTAGTTAATGGATTACATATTGCCATCTTAGAAATAATTGTTCAAGTCACAAAATTAAAGCTTGTAGAGTGGACATTCCAACAATGATACTGCAAACAGTTCTGTTCAATGATCCAATAAAACTCTGTGATATCATTTTCTATCTTATACACTTAAATATACATGCAGTTATATAGTTTAGAGCATTTTCTTTTCCTCTCTTTTGTACAATGACTATTACACATTTTGGGTTTCATTGCTCCCACGGTTCTTATTGCTTTTTTGGGAGAGAGTAAAACCAAATGTGACATAACAGAACAGAATCGGTCAAGTCAAAAGGGTGGACATAATAGATAATGTAAAAACATAATACAAGGTGATTAACAATGGTTACCATAATGCCTCCCGCTATCTCTAGTAGAATTGCCTATATCATTAGTTGTGATACAATTGAACAAAACAGTAAAGAACAAAACCGACAAAACCAAAACATTGGAGACATTGTAGGTATTCAAAAGTCAACGAGAATGGGCGTTATAATGAATCTCATTATCTTCTCAGCTGATGCCTAAACTTTCGAACCTGATACTATCCAGTAAAACAGAATAGAGGAACCTCAGTCAAAAACAAGATGGTGAGAGTAATACAGGGCTTCAAATCGAGATAATAGAAAGTCAAAGTGGGTTACTATATTATATCCTGCTATTTTTTTCCCTTTAATTAAACGGATAAAAATAAAAAAGTAAATAACGGAGTGGAGATAGAGAAAAAAGAGGGCATAACAGCGAAACAGGGCAGATCAAAACATAACCATTTAAGCAGAATAGCGTTTCACCACCAGATAATTCCGACCCAAAAGTAGTTACCATATTGACTCTTTCCTTGAAGTCCTTGAGTACAACTTCGTATACTGTAGCATTAAGTATATCAAAACAATGTAAAACCATTTAAGAGAATGACAGCATTATAGAGTATTTAGAATCGACTAACAGAAAATGAACAATGGTTTCTGTATAATCTCCTTGTCTTTAAAAGGTTTTTGCTTATACTATCGTACATAATAAAATCCAATAAGATACAACCTGTTTAGACCATTGGAGACAGAAGAACAAAAGCTAGATGAGACTTCAAAACAAGATGGTACTAAATCAGTACTACCTATTAAGATGTCATTTTTCCAAAATAGCTGTTCCTATCATCCAATCTTCTCTGTCTCATTTCTGTTGAGCTCTTTTTCTGTCAGTAGCTGTCAGTTTGTTTTCTTCATTTTGTTCTCTGCTCCCTTCGTTGTGGCCTCCCCGCCACTATTTCTGGGTTCTTTGTATTTTTCTTTTTTTAGAATATCCTGCAATACTTTCTGTAGGGTTGAATTGGTGGTTGCAAATTCCCCCAGTTCCTCTTTATCCTGGAAGCACCTCGTTTTTCCATCAATTTCCAGGGACAGTTGTGCAGGATATCTCAATCTTGGCTGGAGATTATTATCTTTCAAAGCTTGAATTATTTCCCCCCATGCTCTTCGTGATTTGATGGTTTGTGCAGAGAAATCTGCTGTAATTCTGATGGGTGTTCCCTTGTAAGTGGTCTGTTTCTTGTCTCTTACAGCTTTTAATATTTATATGCCTGGGTGTTTCTCTGTTAGGGTTGTAGGTAGCTGGGGTCCTGTATGCCTCATACATCTGAGTATCTTTACCTTTTGCTAAATTAGGAAAATTCTCCTGGATTATTTCTGTGAGTAGCTTTTGTAGTTCACTTGTTTGTGTCCCTACTTCTTCTTTTATGTTCTTAATCCTTAAGTTATGGCTCCTCTTATCATCTTCTTGTCTTTGTATTATTGCTGTTTGTTTCTTTGTTATTTTTAAGAAGTTTTTCATTTCATTCTCCCATATTACAAGTCTGCCCTCCAGTTCAGATAGTCTGTCCTTAGTTTCTTTCAAGTTGTTATGCCAGTCTTGGATAGACTTCTTAATTTCTTGATAGTCCCTTTGAACCTGCTTCACATACTCAATGCTTTCTCTGTTTTCTCCATCAAGCAATTCTCCTCTCTTTTTCTGTTCTTCCATTCCACCATCTGTTTTTTCCTGGGTGGTGCTTAGCATTTCTCTAACTATTCTGCATACTTCTAGCTTCAGGTCGTTGATAACTTCATTCCTGAATTGGTCTATGAGGCTCTCTATATGGCGCTTAATGTATATTGGTGCGGTGTCCACTATTGCCTGTTTCTCAGAATTGGGGGCCGAGGAGCCTTTCTTGTTGCTTCCCTTCCCCATATTTTCTGTTCCTTATAAAATGCAAGCTTACATAGGAGGCCCGGCTTCCCTGCCCATCAGCCACAGCCTGATCAAATTGCGCTGGCTAGGTGTTCCCGCCCACCGCTGCGCACCAGGGAGTTGCGGAGGAGGCAGCCTACGCGGGAGTCAGTCGCTCCTCCGGGCCACCATCAGGCTCTGGGATCTGGGTTAGGCCAGCCTACTAAGTCCGCCAGCAGCGTCAGGCAGGCCAGGCACTTTTCACCAATCCCATCCGAGAGGGGAATGTGTGGCTGGAGTTGCCACCGCACCCTGCTCTTACAGGACTGTCCGAGCCCAGAAAGTCCTCTGCTGGAGTCAAACTGTGGTAGGGGGTAGTTTCTCTCTCACCTCGCCACCAGTCAGTTTTCGTGTACGCCTCCTTGTCCGTCCTGTTTTCGACTCCGTTCGCAGACTCCCGTTCCCAGAGCTTCTGCGTGTCTCTCCTTGCCGAGCCGCTGTGGAGGCAGCCAGCCGCCGGGCAGCGGGAAATCCAAATCGCGGTTTCCGATGGCACGGGGTCAAGCCTCCACACCGAGTCTTTTCTGTTCCTATTTTAGCGCCAGGACTGTATTCTAAGTTGGTTTCTCTCAGCCCAGTTCGTTCCTGAGTCAGCAGAGCATATCTCTACCGGTTCATGTCTCCTTAGTCCGCATCATTCCTGGCCTCTGAGCCGAGCCTTTCAGAGAGCCTCCGGTAGTTGCTGTTGTCTGTCCGCCATGTTCTCCCGGAAGCTCGCTGGCTTGTTTTTCTAACTGACATGTAATAATGGTACCCAGATACAGTATGGTTTTCAGTAAACACACAGTGCATAGTGACCACATTTGAGCTGTCACCATGCGTGTCTAGGTTTATTTTGTTTGCAGGTATCACTTCTTTGTCGTAAGAAAGAACATTCACAGTTCTTTCTTCTGGCGATTTGGAAATGTGCAAAGTATTATTTGTCAGCTCTGTGGTCCCTCTCCTGGGCCGTAGAGCACTAGGCCTTAGTTATATGCGTGGTTTTGTACCCATTATTTGGTCTCTTCCTATTCTCTCTGGGGTGTTTTGTTTTTCTCTTGTATTTTATTATCATTTGTTCATTTAGCAAGAATAACACACACATGGGTAGAAAGTTTCTTGTTTCCTGTTTTTCCTGTTTTTTGTTTTTGTTTCCCATTTTATTAAAATACAGATGTGAAGAAAAATTCTATAATAATACTTTTTTTAAAATAGTCTGCAGATTTTTTCAAGAAAAAATTTAATATTGAGGCAAATTTTGGAAGGCCTTCTTTTTCTTTGATGCTTTCGTATATGCTTCTCTTTTTTTGTAGGCCTTCGAGCTGGCCACAGGTGATTATTTGTTTGAGCCTCATTCAGGAGAAGAGTACACCCGTGACGAAGGTGAGTGTCCCTGAGAGGTCCGTGCACCTTGGTTTCACTGTTCACATGTGGCCAAGTCACGAATCAGTCAAACTAAAATTTTTGTCCGCTGATTTTTTTTCCCTTCATTATCTAGTTGTCATCTTTTATAAGCCAATCAGTGACTCAGTCTTTATCCAATTTGAATTTACCTGGTCATCAACTTACTGCTCATTTATGCCTCCAGCTATATAGTCTGTGAACACTGCTTGAATCCAGAGGCTATGTTCTATTAATGTAAATGCTGCAGCACCAAGATTTTATTCTTTTTTTCTTTTTAGATGTTACTGACAGTTAGAATTCCATTTTAAAGCAAAATATAATGGACTTAAATTTGTGGTGTTCTGTGGGGAGAGCCACCCTGTTGAGTGTCTGCACTGGAAAGGCCATGGAAGCAGATGCCTGGACCTCATTCTCCTTCGCAGGCATCCGCAAAACTAGATGAGTTAATGTCATGGGGAAAAGAAACGGTTAGGAGCCGAGGAGTTAGCACAGTGGCCTACCTGCCAGTAGGCGTGAGGTTGTTCGATCCCCAGTACCCGCCCTGCCCACCAGCCAAAAAAGAGCAGGTAGCTAAGTGTGTAACCTTCCTTTTCCGCTGTCTGGGGAGCATTTACCACGTTGCCGGGGGTCAGGCGGGGTGCTCTCCAGGAACGGGAACAGGCGCAGGACGGTCCAGTGTGGAGCGCGCCCCTCCGGTGCTGTGCTCTGTCCAGGCCTTGTGTCAGCAGGCAGTGTGAGGCTGGCCTGCTGCGGTGCCTTGCAGACACTATGTGGAGAACACTGTGCTAATTCCCGTGCCTAAGAGCCTGTTTTGGGAGGTGTGGCTTGGGCATGTTCACATCTATGATATTTATGCACACCTCTTGTTAAAAGATACTTTACTGCCCATGTAACTACTTGGTTTTTTCCCTTTTCTCTGCATTTTTTTGGGTTCTGTGTTTGGAGTTACATATTGATAGTGTTTTTTAAATGCCCTAACATCTGTCTGGGAGGAGCAGTTCATGTCTTTTACTTCCTTAGGCCATAAATACCAATGTGTACAGTAGCTCACACATGGTGGCTAGAATTACACTGACTAGGACCGCAACTGCCGAGCTGAAAATTACATGTAAAACAACCCCAAGTAAGGAGCCGAGAAAGAACCATGTCCCTAGATACTTAGACCCTCATACTTTCTGCCTTCAGTAATCAGCACTGGTGGTCAGTAGACCACAACCCCTTTATAATATTTTCCTTCAGGGTAGCCTAGAAGAGCAAGAGAAAGTAATTCCTTGGAGTAGGAAAAGTTTTAGAAGCATCATTACTTCATGTAGAAGTAAAAGAACCTGTGGTCTTATTTAGTCCTTGGTGTTTTCATTTTGCTCGTTGTTAATGATAACGCATACAAACACGTTTATTTTCAGACCTTGCCTAAAATGAGAAATTTCTTGGCAGCTAGGTACTTGTTACCGAACATAAACTCACTACTCCTCAGAGATGGTATTGAATTTATCGGGCCCTTTTAAAATAATGCCACCAGATGGTTTTATGAGAGAGAGAACTGAGACCTGCAGATTCCCAGGTGTACAGGTGCCTGTAGCCATGACACTTTCCCTAAAAGACACGAAACTGGGAGTTTTTAAGGACGTCTTTTAACCCTTGATGATTTTAACTGCAAGGTTAAAGGCATTATAAAAGCTCTTGTCTGACTGTGAGGCATCACTTTCCCAAACTTCTCATGTACTTCATTTCCGCCACCCAAAGAATCAAAGGAGCCACAGGGCCCTGAAGGGTGGAGCCCTGCTGGCGGCAGCTCGCCCTCGACCTCTGCCCCATCCCTAGAAGCGCCTGCAGTCCCCACTCATGCTGTCATGGTCATAGAAGTCATTTGGGCTTACTTACAGTCACTTTGTACAATTTCTAATTCATTAAACCATGAGGGGGGGCACCCTCTTGCCTGGACATGGTAAGATGTAGGTCTTCGTTTGAGTGCCAACATTTAGCCCCACACTTCAATAGGCCAATTAGTTTTTCTGAAATTTCATTTTTCTCATCTTTAAAATAAGGAGTTAATGTTTGACCAGTGTTACAGAATGACTAAAAATTCAGTTGTGTGAGTTAAGGACATTGCACTGTGACTTTGATGTGGGCATTCATATATAGGTGGTGTTTTACTCCTTGAAGCCCAGAATAGTATTGTAAACTAATAACGCTTCTACAGCCTGCAGGAAGGTGAGGCAGGGGGGTCGGTGTAAGTGTGATGCCTGCCTGGGCTACAAAGTGAGCCCAAGGCCAGCCTGAACTGCGTAGTGAGAGCCTGTCTCAAAAAGACCAAAAAATAAAAAGTTCTAGAACTCTTAAAGCATGTTGGCACTTTGTTTTATTTTTACCCTTACTTAAAATACTCGCATGAACCTAGATATATAAACAAAATAACAGTAAAGTTGTACACAGACCTCAGGATCAGAATGAGACCTGCCACCTGAAGTAATTCCGGTCTTTCCCAGGCTGCCCTGCATTATCTTTGGTTTTATTTGAGTTACTTTTAAACAGCTGGTCCTTGAAAAAGCTCATCATAAGCAAACCTCTTTTCCAGCTTTCCTTGATCCTGTTCTTCTTATCCTTCTATTTTAGACTACACTGCACATTTAGAGCTGATAGGCAGAATTCCAAGACACTTTGTGCTTGGTGGGAAGTATTCTCAGGATTCACCAGTGAGTTTCCATCTAGCTTCCAAGGATGCAGCTTCAGGAAACGGCCTTCACACCAGGATTGTTTTCAGTAATCACGCAAGTCCCTCGGCTTTTAAGACTTGCTTAGAGGGGCTGGGGATTTAGCTCAGCGGCATAAGCGCCTGCCTTGCAAACAGGCAGTCGTGAGTTCGATCCCTGGTACCGATAAAAAGGAAAAAGACAAAAAAAAAAAAAGACTTGCTTAGAATCAGTGTTAGATGGGTACAGTCTGCTTCCTCGCATTGGGATGGAAGGCAAGCTTGAAATGCTTTGCAAAGAGGTGTGCGTGCTACTCTTCCTACCCGGATCTAGAGCTGCATTGTTACTCCTGTTATATATGTCTTTTTTTCTCCCCCTCTTGAAATGTCTGAAACATACAGATCACATTGCATTGATCATAGAACTTCTGGGGAAGGTGCCTCGCAAGCTCATTGTGGCAGGAAAATATTCCAAGGAATTTTTCACCAAAAAAGGTAAAACAAATGTGTTTGTTCCCAGACATTGTGGGGAAAAAAAAAGCGTTCCAGGATGAAAAGGTAGGTACCTCTAGGAACATACTCCTGGAGAGCGTGCCTTGAACGCTGAAGTGGGTCCGCAGAGGGCGGTGAGAGCGGTCAGGTCCTGGCCGCTGCACTGCCACACTGAGTGTCAGCAAGCTGGTTTCTAAATGGGAAAGGATTGTCCTCCTTTTCAGTGGCTAAATGTGTACCTGAGACAAGGCTGGGGGCGTGCCCCTACTCTAACCCTTCTGAGCACGGGCAGCTCTTACTGCAGGGAAGGGAGTTGAGTTTAAGCTTCTCAGGTCAGGAACTACATCTCACCCACCTCTGTACCGTAATTCCACCTAAAAAGTCACGCTGACACATCGCCTTTCAGTTTTGTAGGGTCATATGATTACATGTTACTGAAAGAAACAGTGAAACTCTCACTTTGGCTTTTTGACTTGATAATGTACTTCTTACATACTCCAAATTAAACAGATCTGGAAACCTAACGTAGAAAGCCCAGAGTACCGTCTGGCCTCTTTCTCCCCACTGTGCCATGGTTCCCCTTTTCCTTACAGCCTCTGCACAAGTGCTGAGAAAAGTGATTCTTTTGAACCTTGGACAGGAGACGTGCTCAGAAACATTACCTTTTCCTAAACATTTTGGGTAGGAAAAGGGCAAAATGCTTCCTTGTGTACAGAGGTCAGGTTGTGTGTGTGCCAATTCAGTGATTAAATAGCTGCTTGCTGCCCACAGAGGAATCCAAATGAATGTTACATGTGAAAACTTCCTCAGCAGCATTAATTTTTTTTTTTTTGGTCTTTTTCCTTTTTATCGGTACCAGGGATTGAACTGACAACTGCCTGCTTGCAAGGCAGGTGCTTATGCCGCTGAGCTAAATCCCCAGCCCCTGAGCTAAATCCCCAGCCCAGCAGCATTAATTTAATAGCCATTAGTAATTGGCCAGCTTAGCCATGTGCTTTTGTCACCCCAGCCCGCTGCGAGAGAGGTAGGAGGAGCAGAAGTTTGAGGCAGCCTGGGCAGCTTAGTGACCGACTGAAACCAGCATCCAAATTCAAAATGGGGAGGGGTGAGGCTCAGTGGGGAGGCAAAGTGACAGGCTCATTTTGAAGCAACATTTACTAGATTATGGAGGCCTCCTGGAGAAAGAGAACCAGCACAGTGTGGTTTGGGATCGGCTCTGTGGTGCAGGGGTGAGCCACGGCCTCATGCGTGCCAGACAGGTGCTCTCTCACCTAGCCACGTCCCTATTCCTTTTCATTCCCGGAGACGGGGTCCTGCTGTGTTGCCCAGGCCGGCCTCTGCCTCTGCCCTCTTGACAGCACAGGGCAAGCTGCTGTTATTAATGAAAGCACACCGCCTCTGACGTCACGTGAGGCCACATAATGTGGAGGTGTGCGCTCGGTGTGTAACTAGTTCTGGTTGCCAGGCATGCCCTAGTTGAACTGGGACCAGAAAATTCCTGAAATAGAAGGGAAAAAATCTTAAATTTTTAGGACTGTGAAAAACAGGTACTTGTTGAGATTCAGGATTAGAGAAGTGTTTCATGAAGGGCACGTCGGGCTCTGATTGCGAAGTTGACTCTTTCTGGGTGCCCTGGCGTGGCCTGGCTTCCTGCACAGGAGGGGCTCTTGCCTTGTCACTGTCGGTCAGGACCTTTTGTGCTGTCTTCGCCACAGGTGACCTGAAACACATCACGAAGCTGAAACCTTGGGGCCTCTTTGAGGTTCTGGTGGAGAAGTATGAGTGGTCTCAGGAGGAGGCAGCTGGCTTCACAGATTTCTTACTGCCCATGTTGGAGCTCATCCCCGAGAAGAGAGCCACTGCCGCCGAGTGTCTGCGGCACCCGTGGCTCAACTCCTAAGCCGTGCAGGCCGCAGCAGCAGGAACCACCGCGCCCGCCGGCCGCCCTCCTCTCCAGGCATTTTCCTCTTTGCAGGGTGCAGCCTTTTCTTCAAGGGTTTCTAGATTTCTTTCTTTCTCCCCCCCCCCCCCAATCCAGCGAGTTCGTTTGGGGAGATCCGCACTGCCTTTGGGTGTCCCACATGAATTTGGCCCTGGTGGGGCTCGCCAGAGAGTAATGAACCAAACATGTGGAGTGGCCCCTTACCCTCTGCCCTTGCCATTCCATCAGGGCATCCTGTAAACTCTATAAGCGTCCTCTTTAAGGAGAGCTATGAAGATGTACGCGCCCACCTTTTTCTCACTGACTCTGAGAGTCAACTGCCTGGCCTGTGTGCTGCCGGCACAGGGACGAGGAAGGAGGCTGGGTGAAATGCTGTGTACAACAGAGACATTAAACTTGCTCTATCCAGGCTGCGTCAGGGTCCTGGATTGTTTCTGTTGTTCTCTTATGTTTTTGTTTCTTCCTGCAACTTTTAAACTACTGCCTTTTTGAAAGAGCTGTTATAACCACCAAATTTGGGTACCATCTTCTTCACAGTTCAGAGCGCTGTCACGTTTCTTTCATCCTGTAGTAATTCTAAGATCCTCAAATCTTCAGCCTGACTTTTAATGGAAACAGAAATGGAACCATTGAACCCTCGTTTCTTGAGAACCTCAGGTGTTCAAACACTCCTGCCCTGTGTGTCTTCTGTTGCCCTAGAAGGAAGAGAAACTGTAACTGGCTATTTATCTTTTGTTTTTTAAATGCCTGGCTGGCACTTTACCCAAGGCACTTGACTTTATTGCCCCATGACTAAAGAATCAGGATGGCTCCAGAATGGAAGTCTTGGTTTCTGAGCTTGCCAATTTAAGGGGAGAATGTTCTAGAGGTCTAATTCTTTTCCAAACAATTCTTTGCTTTTATTTACAGCTGCTCATGTTGCCCCAAATGGTGGTTTTGAGCAGCTTCCCTCTGGGGCTTTGTTGTCTCGTTTTCTCAGTCTTGTAGTCTTGAATGAAACCCTGGATAAAAGAACCGAGGGGAGGGGCGGGATGGCACTTTTTTCACTGGGTGATGTTGCCTGTTGACTTTTTAAGGTTAGCCATTCTCTGCTGCTATTTCCTTATATAATGTAAGTGTATAGCTGCAATTCTGAGATGATTGCAGTGCACTTGAGGCTTTTTTCCCTTACTGCAAAGGCTCTGTGAAGTTCACATTAGGATTGGCCTCTCGTAGACGTGACCAACCCCGACATTCTCCTCGGGTACTATTGGGTGGTAAAAGGAGGGCAGGATTGGGGTCATAGCCACTCACTCAGCAAAACAAGTGGGCCTGGGAGATGACAGCATTCCCTGGAAGCGGCCGCGGAACTCCTGCATTTACAGAAGCCAAGGAGGGGCACGCGAGGCTCTGCTGTCAAGCTGCCCATGAAACTCTGGGAGGGAGATGGAATTCCTTTCTGTCGTTTACCACCACGTGGACAGAGGCAAAAGTGGTGGTGTCCTTATGCAGCCTGTTCAGCTCTTCAGGGTACCACTCTGAGGAACGGGCCAACCAGTCATTGCATCCCTGATTGGTCACTCCTGAAACCAGACATGTTCCTGTAGAAAGAATTGTCAATCAGGCTGTCTATGCACCTATCAAGAATAGAACAGACGATCTCAGACAACGGCAGGGAAATTCTCCAGCAATCCTGATTACTCTGGGTTGTCAGCTGTATTCACATCTAAAGCAATAGCAGACTTAACTGCAGTCTCTCCTACTTTGTAAACTCCCAGGTGTGGAATTACAGAACTGATGATGGTGTGAGTTAATGTGAAATAACAGGACACATCAGTGAACAGAAGGCTCTGTTTAACAGTTGACATGACAGGAATTTTTAATAGAGAAACCTACAACTTGGTTTTGGAAATCTTTCCCATCAGATAAGGGCTTTGCCGCCTGTACCATTTAAGGAGCCAGATAAATCTGAAGACCTGAAAAGAGGCACCTGGAAACCTTGGTCTTCCGTGGCCTCCACAAACCTTTTTGAGCTGAATCATAACACTGTCAAATTAGTATGGTCTCACTAAAGAATTTCTATTTGCTGTTGGTTAAAAATAAAGCCCTGATACATTTTTATTCTTTCTACTGAGTGCATTGTCTGTTTTCTTTACAAATGCAGCACAATAAACAAAGTATTTAATAACCTACGTGTTTCCAGAAATTTCTGTTCATTTTTGCCCAAGTTGATCTGACCCAAACAGTTGAAAGAAGAAATTAATTAAATCTGTTTTGTGAACTTTGCACATTTGTAAGGTGTGTGCATGTGTGTGTTTCAGAGTTCTAATACAGCATAGGCAAAATGCACTTAAGTAAACGTTTCCCGGAGCCTCTACGACGGAACTACCAGACCAGAGTAAACATGTTTCTGAGGCTTATGATAGACTTCCCCAGAGAGTGGACCGACTTGGTCTGTATGCCACAGTTTCTGAATGGGCCTTTTAATCTCATTTTATTCTTGATAATTACTTTGCCCCTGCCAAAAAGAATACCTTGCTTTAATTTGCATATTAGATTGCTGGTGGGGCAAAAATTTTGTTGTACAGGTTTATTGACCATTTTTATTTGTCTAAATTACCAGCTTTCAGAGTTCTTATTTGATGACCTTGACTTGTTATTTATTAAAGATAATGAATTTTTGTCATTGCTTCATGTATTTTAAGACAAGGTCTTGCTCCATGGTTCAAGTTGCATTGAACTCACTTATGTAGCACAGGCTGGCCTCGAACTCACGGCAGTCATCCTGCCTCAGCCTTCCGAGTGTGTCACCATGCTCTCTCTGCCCTTCCTCTATTTGTAGTGTTTTTAGTGCTTCCCCACTGTCCTGAAATATATGAACTATTGTAGTGAATCTGTCTTAATTGTGCAGTCTTGAGACACCCAGTGAGTTTATGGTGGTGGCCAGAATGTAACCCACAGAGACTGTCCCTAGGGCCCCTGGACCGCAGATTGAGGTGGTGTCTGCAACCTCTGTACAAACCTAGAGCTCCAGGTTTGAGGAAACCTGCTGTCTGTTGTAGGAGAGCTTGTAGCTGTCTGACAAGCAGCAGCAAATCAGGTGTCCACAAGGAGGCCGCTTAGCTGCTCCAGAGAATGGGGAAAGTGCTAGACTGATGGTTTACTGGCAATGCTGTGGGCTTAACATTTATCCAAAACAAACCACGTCCTCGTGATGGCAGAGGGGCTTGTATGCTCAGCTCCTCAGTCGTTGGCAGGAACACTGGTAACTTTGCTCTTTTGCAATCTCGGAGTGGGGATTGACACACAAGAATGGCTACGAACTTGGAGGTCTACTAAGGAGGGAGTTTTCTTTGTCACTAAAGATGTTTTTAAAAGAGTCGACTCTAGGTATGATTTACATTTATCTGTGTTCCTGCAGGAGTATTAACTTTCAAAACCCAGTGACACATCCAGAAATTGAGAATGTGTTAAATGTTAAGAAATTTTAGCCCAGGAATGAAGTTTACCTTGGCGTCTATACTGCTTACGCACTGCAGTTTCTTGTGAGGAAGACTTAATAGTTATATGTAGATGGCCAGTTTGATTAATATTTTTTCATTTTGTCCTTAATTCTGATCCAGTTTTTTCCCCCTTTTAACAGCACAAATTTTAGACTCTAAAGAGCAGAACCAACCTATTTACAGAAGTTCTGTGTTCTTCATAGTCGTGCCACTTAGACAGCATTTGCCCTGCCTGCTGTGGGCTGAGCAGGTACAGAGGCAGTGGTTGAGGTTGGAAACCCATGGGCCTTACTAGGCCTGTGAGCTTTGTGCGAAGCATTGGAGCCCTTCGGCTTTCATGACCACTGCACTACGGAGCACGGCTGTGTGGGTGTGGAAGGCTGAGAGTCACCTTTGTGCCAGTAAACCGTTCTGGGAAATGTTCATTTCATCAGCAAATTGGCCAAATAACTGAAAAATGGCTTTTATAAGGGCCCTAGTGGTCCCACCTCCTGGTTCTCATGCCCTTGTGTCATCTGCTTGCCGGGTGTGTGGGCTATGCATTTGGACTGTTCTAACAGAATCACTGGGAAATTGGGTAGCGTATCTAAACTCAGGCTGCTGTGGGGCTGTGCAATTCGTTGCCTCTCCCTCCCTCCCTCATTTTTTTTGTTTTGAGACTGTAGTCAGGCTGGCCTTGAGTTCACAGCAGTCCTGAGTGCCACGGGCTCCTGACTTAAATGCATAAGCCACACACCTGGCCCTTTTCTCTTTTGGAACCTTTGTTCTGAGGAAGCCAGCTCCCCACGTGAGTAGCCCCAATGAGGTAGCCAGCAAAGACTGGCGTCCCTCAGTGCCAAAAGCCATGCAGACCACCACTGAGTTCAGGGTCAGCTCCGCAGTGATTAGAGCCGTGTAAGAAACCGGGAATCGGAGCTGCTTAGCTGAGCCCTGCTGGAAGTCCTCACCCCCAGGAACGGGATGAGTGTGTTGAGCCCCCGAGTTCTGTGGAGGTTGGTCAGCACTTGGTAACTAACACAGAGCAGTAAGACAACAGGGCGTCCTGGGTTTTTTTCCTTTGAGTTTGCACTTGAGGTGGGAATGAAGGATGCTTTTGAACCTGGCTTCTCGGCATAGTAGCACACGCCTGTGATCTCAGCACTTGAGGAAGCTGAGGCAGGAGAATTGCCATGAGTTCAAGGTCAGGCTGGGCTGCAGAGCAAAACCCTGTCTCAAACCAAAAAAATCTAAAGGTAAAGCCCCCTGAAAAGGCACTGACACCTGAACCAAAACTATTGTCAGGTTGAGTTTCATGTTTTAAAATTTTTTTTATTTAAAGAGAATAAAACAGTAAAGTGTACAAGTAATACAGAATTTAAAAAAAAAAACTAAGAAATCACTAGTTAATAGATTACATATTGTCATCTTTTAGAGAGTTTCATTTTCTTAAAGCAAAAAGTGATACCCTGGGCCTTGTGACTCCTTCCCCTGCAGCGGCAGCTGGTTCAGCGGCTTCTGTTTTGGTGGAATTCGCTTTTCTGGCAAGAGTCATGTGGGCAGGAAGCAGAGGCACTGTCACTTCCCAGAAGCGTCTGTGACCTGTCATGGTTGCCATGTCGGAGAAGGAATTTGGGTCTCCCAGACATTCATTAGATGGCTAGGAAGGTCAGGACGCTGCAGAATGTGTCATTGTTTCTCAAGCTTGCACGAAAGAATTGCTTGTGAGTTACAATTTTTCAGCAAAAGAAAATACAAATAGGACTGGTAAGGCAGCTGCTAGGGACAGAGTGGCAAGTTCCACCGTAGTAGTTCTGACGCTGTTTCCCTGGGACAGCACCAGGCCCACCTGAAGGGACAGAGAACAGCAGGAGTGGCCGGCAAGGTGCATTCGATGCGCGACAGCCAGGGACAAGGTTCCCCACGGCACTTGGTGACGCAGCAGAGGACTCACTGGAGTCCTGCCCCGCCCGTGAGCCACTAGCTCACCCAGTAGTTTTTACTGATTGCCTGTAAATGGACACAGGCCAGATGAGGTTCCTCGGGCCGGGCGCTGCCAAAATCAACAAAACCCTGCGTGCGCACCGCCCCAGGTTGGGGTGAGCTAACAGACGCCGGCAGGAGCGCCCCCTAGCGTGCCCAGGCCAAGGTGCGTGCCAGGAGCCGAGGCCTGCTGCCTTCCGGCCGGCCGCACAGGCTGGACTCTGACGAACAGGTGGCCGAACCTGCAGCCGGTCTGGTGGGTTAGGATGGGCACCAGGGTGAGCCGTGATTTGACTTGTTCCCGGGGCCGGGGTCTCACGTTAGTCTCAGGTTTGCGTTGTTCGTACCCGGGTCGTGTGCTGGGTCGGGCACGGGCTGGGATGCATGCAGGGCCTCACCTGCGCTTGCCCAGCGCTCCAGCACTGAGCTATGCCGAGCCCCCGGGGTTCAGAGCCTGCGTTTACCTCCTCTTTATTAGGCTTCTGGGGGTGCTAAGGGATTCACGTTCTGGTGATCTCCCCTAGTCCACTCTGAGCAGCAGTTAGAAGGGGGGGCAACAAACGACGCCCTAAACCTCAGCCTGAAACGCGCTTCCCTCCGTGTCTTCACTGCTTCTGAGCAGTGGGTGTTTGGGCCTGCGTCTCCAGATGAGTGCACCCATCAGCGGCGCTCCAGAGGTCACGGGCTGGGCCCCGCGGGGTGCAGGAGGAAGAGGTCCCCGGGGCCAGCGCCCCCCCGCTGCTGAGTCTGAGCTGCTCTGACCCGAGCCCGCGGGCTTCCCAGGACCTGCGCGCCAGTCCTAGGGAGAAAGGTTCTGGGTGCCGGGACGAGAAAGCTGCATGGAAAGACTATTTCTGAAGAACTGGAGCCCTTGGGTTCCTTTCTCCGGGGACAGGTGCTCTGTGAGGTGAGAAAACAGAAGATTTGCAGCATCATACAACCTGCCATTTTTAAAAGCCAGTTAAAACAAAGATTTGCTGACATTTTAACTTCGGTTCTCCTCAGATGCCGCGTGTCCCCCTTTGTGTATCAGTACATAGTCACGATCCCTGTGTTCTTCTCAAAGTGGGGTGCAGCAGAGATACAGTTCCCCTTTACTCAGAGATGGCGCTTGGAAATGCAGGAGCCACAGCAAAACGCTGTTATCCACCCTGGCAGCCCTGATGTCCAGTAACCACCGCCTGGCTGGCTCAGAAAACAGTGGTGTCGCGTGCTGCGGGATCCGTGGCTTCAGAGAGCTTTAATAATGACTAGAGCATGCAAAGTGAAGCAAAGCTGTCCAGACACCCCAAGGTGCTCTGATGCAGTGCTTTGCCCCCCGAGTGTGCTCCATGTCCGGGCAGCAGCTGATCAGAAGCCAGGCTTTACAAAGACCCCCAGACTGCACACTGAAGTTCAAGAATCATCTTCTAATGGAGGGGAGCACTATTTGTAATTATTTAGAACTTGGTACTTTGCAGAATACAAGTAGCTGAAATGGAGGTTATCCTCCCTACCCACACAAAGCCTCACCTAGCCTGCCGTCAAGTGACTCTTAAGAGCTGGGCTGGCTGGCTGGCTGCCTTTTATACTCCTTAATGTTAAGCCACAAAAGTGTGAAAGCTAAAGACAATAAATATGCTCTGCTTCCTTCTTAAATCACGTATTAAAACTACTTAACTCATTTTCCTTTTTTGCTTCAGCTATGAAGACGCTAAATTTACCCGGGCATGGTGGCTCACGCCTATAATCCCAGCACTCAGGAGGCTGAGGCAGGAGGATCATTGTAAGTTGAAGACCAGCCTGGGCTACAAAGTGAGCTCAAGGCCAGCCTGAACTGCACAGTGAGACCCTGTCTCAAAAAGACAAAAAAAAAAAAAAAAAAAAGAAAGAAAGAAAAAGGCTAAATTTAACACTCAGTACAGTAATTCTACTTATTTTTTATTAGGTTGCCTAGTATACCTCTTACAAATCACTTAAAATTCTGTCTGAAATTGAGCCTGTATGATAGAGTAATTTTAAAAATAATCTGTTCTTAATGCCCAGTGTATAAGTGCCTGGTGAATGATCACATAGGCCCATTTTCCTTGAATCAAAACCAAGGCCAGAAGTGTTTCCAAGGGTGTGCTGTGAGTTCTGCGCACCGCCTTCCCTCTTCCGGGGAGTGGGGAGTCAGGAGTCGGATGGGACAGCACCCCTGTCCGAGAGGCAGGGTGCTCACAGCGACGCCCTCACTCCCTGCACCTCCTGAGGTCAGACTGGGTGTTTCCTCTCCCTCCTGCCTAGTTCTGACCGGCAGCTGGGATGTGAATCCCTCCGTACTTTTCCCTAGTGGCCTGGCCCCTTCAGCCAAGGTTGCTAAGCAACCACAGTAGGGAACACTGTCCTCCGTACTGGCGGGAGACATTGCTGTAACTTTTTGCAGCTTTCAGTTTGTCTGTTAACAATACAAACTAAATATCCAAGCTACTCTAATTGTTGCATTAAGAGTATGAATATGCTCGGTATATAACGCGAGAAAGACCATAAATATTGCTGTCTGTTTAGGCCAACTTTTGTTGCCAAATGAGTTTGCGCAAATTTTAAAAACTTTAGTTTGTGGAAGTCTTTGGGTTTCAGATTGCACAAATCAACAAACACACACACACACACACACACACACACACACATCTCACACAGTCCCAAAGGTGTTTTCCACTGTAATCCCAAAACGTGACCTGACTGTACATACAGACACATCGCCTGCCCTCCCAAATGCGTGTCCCTTGTCAGTGTGGCCGCCTGTAGCCCTGGTGTTCCCGCTGTCTCGGCTACCCACGTTCAAACCTCTCCTCTCCTTCCTTTCTCCCTGGGTTTCAGGTCTTGCTTCCAGGCCTTCGCTTCCCGTTCCTTCTGACATCTCACTGCCCACCTGGATTCCAAACGCTGCTTCTGTCCTCCTCTGCCTCCCGCTGCAGCCCATCCGGCACTGCTGGACAGGTCTGACCTCTGCCTCTTTCAACACATGCGTCCCTCCTTGCAAAGTAACCAGCGATCCCCTCGGCCTGTAGGATGAAGGCTGAACTCCCTGTGATTGGAAGCCCTCTGAATATAGGCTCTCACCTTCTGCTCCCCGTGGAGCCCCTCCCTCTCCCACCAGATCAGCATTCGCCCTTATTTTCTGGGGTGCACTGCACCCCATGCACTCCTCCTCCTGAGGGCTTCTGAATAATCTTTTCTGACCTGGAGTGCTACTCACCCTCCTCTCCAGCCAACCAGACTCGTATACATCCCTCACAGCCTGGCCCAAGGGCTCCTCCATTTCAAATGACTCCCCAGTGCCTTGGGACCAAGCGTAAGCCTTTTGCTTTCCTGGTTTTCTTCCACACTCACTCTGTTGGGCCACACAATGAATTAGATGCGGTCACACCCTACCACAGTCTCTTTTTTGTGCATATTTCTCATTTCCCAAGTAAGACGGCGTAATTCTTGGGGCACAAGAATTACATATTGTGTGTGTGTGTGTGTGTGTGTGTGTGTGTGTGTGTGTGTGTGTGTGGCTAAGAAGCTTGACAGTAGCTGTAATGCTGAACTGAATGAAGAACCACAGCTGCTCAGAAAAAAGATGTAAACATGTAGGTTCAGGAGGGTCCTGCTCTAGGAAGGCCCAGCCGCTGCCTCTCCCATCCTCCTCGTGATCTGTATTCCTTCCTCTTCTTGGATTTGCTGTGTGCAACTTTGGTGGCTCTTTGGTGCTGCAGTCCTTTTTTTTGCCAGACAGTAAATAAACGCAAGAAAAATATAATGATGATAATAATCTGTTCTTATTTGCCAGGCTCCACCAAACAGTGAGCTTCTGAAACTAACTCCCTGCCTGTTTTCAGGTATTTCTTCCCTCCTTGTCCTCTCTCACAGCTCAGAACACCCCTAGGCTGGGTGTGGGGGGCATCGCTATCCCAGCACCCAGGAAATAGGCAGGAGGTTCACCACAAGTTCCAGGCCAGCCAGGTCTACGCAGTCAGTTCAAGACCAGCCTGAACTGCACTGAGACCTTGTCTCAAAGAAACAGAAAGAAAGCAAGCAAAATACACACCTTCCAGCAAAGGCCTTCTGGCCTCCCCGCCCCCAGTGGGCCCCTGACCCCAGTCCCTGTGGAAGCCCCTCCGGCCCAGCCCCAGGATTCCCAGAGGGAGCAGCAAGCCCTGCCCTCTAAGGGCAGGTCTACCCTGCCACAGGGACACTCACCGCCTGGCCAGCTGCTTCAGACTTCCTCTGCAATGAAAGAACACTGTGTTAAGCCAAGCCTTGTCTGCAGAGAGGTCCCCCACACTCCTCCATCTCCAAACAGATCGGTTCCTCTAGCCCTGAAGACAGCCAGCTTGCACAAGCTCAGGCCATTTTCAGCTCCTAACCCCATATTGTGTGACCATCTCCTCATCGGACTATAAACTCCGACTTGGGCCCCTGGGGCATAAAGGGATGGCAAGGAGAACACGGTGTTTGCCACAGATTGCATACATGGGTGACAGAAATACTGCAGAGGGAAATAGTTTATTAGTCAGCTATAACGCATAGGCTTCGTTAGTACTGTGCTAGCAAATCCCTGGCAGTCCAGGCTGCCTTGAGCTCACTCTGTAGCCCAGGCTGGTCCCAACTTGCAATGATCCTCCTTCCTCAGCCTCCCAAGTACAGGCATGTGCCACCTCACCCAGTCAGCAACGTTTTAAAATTTTCATGTTCTTGCACTTCTTGCATTAGATTTGTCCCTAAGTATTTTATGCTTTTTGATGCTACTGTAAATTAAACTTAATTTAATTTTCAGATCATTCATTGCTAGATTCAGATCATTCATTTTAGAGTGTTTTAGTCTTCTATATTGCAACTTTGCTGAGATTGTGTCTCAGCTGTAATAGTTTTTAATGGACTACATAGAATCTTTCATATGTAAGATGGTATCTCTGCAGATAGCTTTGTTATTTTATATTTTCCTGTCCAAACGGATGTTTTAAAGTTTCTTGCCAAACTGTCCTCGCTGTACTGTCCAGTGCAGTGCTCACAAGAAGTGACAAAAGCAGATGTTCTCGTCTTTTTCACAGTGTGCCCTTCAGAGTTCACCTTTGAGGCTTTTTCTGTTTTAGGTTTTTACAAGTGAAGAAGAACCCTACCCCCCCCCACACACACACCCCATTGACACTAAGCTCAGATGAGGAAAGTGAGGCACAGGGGCTGGGGGTTTAGCTCAGCGGCATAAGCGCCTGCCTTGCAAGCAGGCAGTCGTGAGTTCGATCCCTGGTACCGATAAAAAGGAAAAAGATAAAAAAAAAAAAAAAAAAAAGAAAGTGAGGCTCAGAAGTTGCACAAGCCTCGGCGGGGTCACTCAGCTGAGCTTACGCCCCGGGTGTTCTGTCTCCAAGCCCGTACATTCTCTGCCCCCTGAACCCCCAAAGCGTGGGTCAGCAGCTTCACCCTAGCACCAGGCAGCACGGTCTCATCCCACAGGGAGGAAGCGGCAGGGCAGGTTAGGGTCCTCCTTCCACTGGGAGGTCACGAAGGTAAAGGGACAGAGCTGGTCAGGCCAACTTGGCACTGTGATGGAAGAAATACCGGCCTTTACTGAGGCGCTCCATGTGTTCCGAAAGGTTCCACAGCGGCGTCCTCAAAGTTTATACACAGAATGAGGCAGGCATTCCTTCGTATATGGCAAGCTAGGGAGGGAACTAAAATGTGGAGAGAAGAAGAATCTGAAAACAACTGAGGACAAGACGGATGGGTCTGAGAGAGGAAAGGGAAGTGGAGTGTGGTTAGGAAGGAGAGCGCCAAACCACAGGGCCACCTCTCAGAAAGCACAGCAGAGGAGACGCATGTAACTCAGAGTGTCCTGAGCGACACAGCTCTTCCAAGCAAGGAAGAGAGCGGGGGTGAGGATGCTCCCAAACACACGTCCAGACAGCCCGTAGGGAGACCATGCGTGGTCCTCTCTCTACCCGTCCCCTGTCACTGCCCTCTCTACCTACGGAAATCCACTGGCTCTTCGGGCTGCTCTTCGGGCTTGCTCTCACTGTAGACGCTGGGGGACGCTTGTATCACAGGGCTTCTGTCCCCCATTGCATACCTGCCCGCAGCCTTCCACAGGCCTTCATCCCCAGGAGGGATTAGTCTTGGTGTCCCCAGCCCAAGAACCAGCCCAAGCACCTGTCCCCTTAGGTGCTTGGCTGCCCGGGATGCCCAGCAGGACCCCGAGTGCCCCTGGAGGGCACGTCACCTTTTCCGTCGGCCTTGTAGTCATCAGGGAGGAGCTTGTCCTGCCGGTAGCCCAGCACGAAAGCCAGGAAGGAGAGGATGAGGGCGTCACCGATGCTGAGGATGGCCAGCATGAAGGCCCAGCGGATGGTGCAGTGGCCCAGCGTGTACTTGCCCGTCTGCTCCCCACACATGCGCCGCACCTCACTGGAGTCCCAGCCATCTGGGTAGACCAGGCAGCCAATCATTAGGCCTGTGGCTGAGGGGACAAGAGGGGGATGGCGTCAGTGACCCACTGCCTCCCACCTTGACCTGCTCGTGTTCCTTGGGTGAGCCTTGAGCGGCACGGGTACGGCTACTGCCACTGGAAACCCGAGGCTCCCAAAGCACCTCACCAGGGTGGCATCTGCCACTCCTCAGGTGGCCCCGCCAGGCCCCCAGGAGATACCCCCCAAACCTGCCCCCATCTGTTGGTATTTCAGCATCTCGGACACAAGTGTAACGAGGAGGCATCGGGCGCAGCTTCCATCAGCTGCTTTCCGTCTCTACAGTCCCAGCGTGGTGGGGTGTGCGCAGCTCCTGCTTGAGCCGGGGCAGGCTTCCCAGCCCGGCCTGACGCTGTCCCCCGACCTCAGAGTCCCCTGGAACTTTTGCTTTGCATGCTGATGCCAGGTCAGCTGTTTGCTGACTTAGCTGTGTGCCCGCACGGATTCTCAGACTTGCTTCGCCAGTCTCATCTACAGAACAAGGATGGTTCTACCTATCTGTGAGGGCTGCAGTGACCTCAAACAAGTTAAGACTTGAAGGCACCCAGAATAGTACCAGGCACGCATGGACAGAACTAGGCCGCCCCTCTGCATAGCTCCCTGTGCTGCAACTGGGAAGGGCCAGAAATTCCGTTCTCCCTGCTCCCCGACTGCACCTGCTCCCAGGAGGCCACCTCCCCAGGCTTGATGTCACAAAGGTGACATAATCCAAGCTATAACCCTATGCACAACTGGGGTGCAGGCAGGGCTGCGTCCCCTTATCTGACCCCTCTCCCATCCTGGCCCTCTCAGGGCCTCAGAGGCTCTCTAGCCCCAAGGCAGTGCTCTAACCTGCAGCTTTGGGACCCAAAGCTACACTGTCTGGACCCAGCTTGATCTTGTAGGGACGGTCAGTAGACAAAACAAACCTCACGGAACTAAATGGCTTCCCCTGATGTTTATAGACGCTCACTGACGTGGGCCCCCAGAACACAGGTGAGTGCAGCACCATCGTGACCCTGGCCACGGCTCTGGGAAGCAGCCAGAGCAGAACGTCCCTATCTTACTGATTAGAAAACTGAGGTCTCAGCGCAGCCACGTGCCTTTGTCTCTCCTGATTTCGAGTCCATTCGCTCCCCAAAGTGCTGAATGTATTTAGCAGTGCCGTCTCTCCTGCGTGACAGGTGAAGAGGCAGGACACAGCGTGAGGGCAGGGGCCGCCTCCCCCACTGCGACCTGGTAAGCCCTGCGTGGCTGGGCCCTTCCCGGGTTGGGGGACCCCAGCCCTTCTGTGGCTGGCCTGGCCCTTGGCTTCAGGAGCACCCCACACATGATGAGTGCAGGGGTGAGTGCGGGAAGGAGACGGCTTTCGGGTTCCTCCTGCTCCCGCCTGTCCTTCCCTCTCCACAGCACTGTCCTGTGGGTGCTCTGGGAAACAGCCAGCAGCCCCTGTCTTAGAAATGGGCAGCTGTTACTGTGGACATCACAGCCCCCTCAAACAGAGCCAGCCTGGTGTTCTCAGGGCACTGGCCCTTTCTGACCTCCGTTGTTTCATCTGTGAAATCGAGTGACATCTGACTCACAGCAGAAGTGCAAGAGCTGAATGTGCTCATGTGTGGAAAATGCCCCTCGCCACGGCCAGTTAATGTTGACGGTTGCTGTTGTTGCTGGCAGTGGAGTCAGATGGAAGCCACCATGGAGGACACTTCCGGCTCCCCCTCTAGGTTAGGCAGGCTGCATGGGTTCCTCTGGCCAACGAGAGGTGAGCAGGGTGGCTGTGTGCACTTCCAGGCCAGAGCCTTCAACTCCTGGCAGGAGACCCTCCAAGGCCGTCTTTCCCTCCACAGTAACGCCAGCCACTGTCACCGAGCTCTGCTGTCTTGGGCTCAGAAGGCAGAAGAGAAGCCCCGACTGGTCCCCAGGGGGCATGCGCCATAGGCCGAAAGAAATGTGCCAGCCCACTAAGGGCTTGGGAGTTGTCTGATGCCATGGCGTCACCCCCATCCTGCCTGACCCTTCTGTGGCCTCACATCTACCATACAGGGCACTGCGGGGGTGCTGCATCACCCCATTCTCTCAAAGGCCCCATGGAGGGGGGCGCTGTCGTGATGGTCCACAGATGAGGTCCCATGGCTGGAACATTTGTGTTCCCCAAACATGAAGCCCTAACCCCAACATGATGGTATTTAGAAGTGAGTGGAGTGGAGTTACAGTGAGTGGAGTTAGAGCCCTTTTATAAAGGGACCCCAGAGAGCATTCTCGACACACAAAGAAACCAGCAGTCTGCAGCAAGAGGAAGCCTCTCCCTACAACTGAACCACTGCCCTGACCTCAGCCTTCCCGCTGCCAGAACTGTGGGTGGTGAGCCCTGTCCCTTAGCATCCCCTGATCCCCCAGTCCCAGATCACTCGTTAGAGCACCCTGAGTAGACGAAGGTTTACCAAGATGGACAGAAGACAAGAAGACAAGCAACTTGTCCGGCCTGTGTTTCTCAGAGCTGGCATCACACCCAGCCCACACCTGGCCTCCAGAAGCCCAGCAAACATTACCCAGCCATAGACCCACATGCCCCTGCCACCAGCCCTTCCCGCTCCCACTTTGTGAGCAAGGTTAAGCTACCCGGTCTAGGGTTCCCCCAAGGGACATCTCTCCCAGCTGCCGCCTGAGGGGCTCACCCTCCCCTCACCCACACAGAAGAATGGGAACATGACGCCGCCTCTGCCCTCCAGACATCAATGTTTCATGGGCTGCCACGGGCCACTCCGCTATCCGTGTCTCCAGCACGGTGACCCAGATAGGGTAGGGTCTGACTCAGCCAGGTGAGGCCTCCTCCTCCTGTTGCAGGGTTCCAGGGTGGGGGACGGTACCCCACAGTCGATATGGGGATCTGCAAATGGGCGTGTCACCCGCCCCTACTTCTGCACAAACTGCCAAGTCTGCATTCCCCTTCCCCTTCCTCCCCTGCCTACCGAGACTCGCCCAGCCTTTCCTGTAGCAGGTGCAGAGACCACAGCGGGGCCGGAACTGGTGTCACTGGCTGCTTGTGGCTGGGTCCAATGCCCACTCGGATCACAGCCTCCACCTTTCTCCCTCCGAGCTGCCACAACCTGGAGTGGTGGCCTGGGAGGCCTGAGACACCTGGTTTCTTCTACCAGGGCAAGTCACTTCTCTGGGCTATCTCCCAACAGAGTCACTACCCCCAGGGAGAGGATCGAACAGTGCGGGTATTTGATGTCCCTTGTGCCCCACCAATCTTTTTTTTTTTTTTTTTTTTTGTCTTTTTCCTTTTTGTCGGTACCGGAGATCGAACTCACGACTGCCTGCTTGCAAGGCAGGCGCTTATGCCGCTGAGCTAAATCCCCAGCCCCAAATGTTTTTTGTTTTTTAACTTTTTATCGGTACCGGGGATCGAACTCACGACCGCCTGCTTGCAAGGCAGGTGCATATGCCGCTGAGCTAAATCCCCAGCCCTGTGCCCCACCAATCTTAAGAGCTTGAGTTGAGCCGGGAATAACAGTGCTCACTATCCCAGCACTTGGGAGGCTGAGGCAGGAGGATCTTTGTAAGTTCCAGGCCATTCTGGGCCACAAAGTGAGCTCAAGGCCAGCCTGAACTGCATAGCGAGACACTGTCTCAAAACAAACCAACAAACAACGCCCCCTATAAAAAACAAAAAGCGGGAGCCTGACTGGAAGGCCCAGAGCCCCAACAGAGGCCGCGCCGCACCGCGCCCCCCTCACCCGCCGCCAGCTGCATCCACGCGCAGATCTTGTAGACCGTGGCTGTGTTGCACACGAAGAACAGGCTGAAGCAGATGATGGAGCCGATGATGAGGAACATGGCCAGGGCCACGAAGAACATGGCCGTCTTGAAGGCCCTGGAGGGGATGGAGGCGAAGTCCAGGGGGCCGCCCTTGCAGATGAGCTCGGAGGACAGCACGTTGCCCACGCAGTAGGAGAAGAGGCCGAAGTAGCCGGCCTGCGGCGTGCTGAGGCTGTCGCCGATCCAGTAGGGCTGCAGGAACAGGGCCGTGACCAGCACGGAGAAGCAGAGCGTGAGCGTGCCCCACATCACGCCCACGGCGCGCGCGTTGCGCACGTAGTTGGTGTGGTAGATGCGGGCCGCCTCCTGCGCGGGCAGCAGCTTCACCATGGCGGGGCCGGCGGGGCGGCGGGGTGCACGCGGGGAGAAGCCACCGGCCCGCCCGCCCGCCCCGCGCGCGGCTCCGTTTCAGCACCGCGGACAGCGGCCAGCGCCCGGGCCCGCCCCGCCGCGCACCGGATTGGGCCGGATCGGACCGGATCGGATGGCAGCCGATCCGCCTCGCCCCACCCCAACCCTGAGTCCCGCCCTGCACCCCGGAGGTCAGCAGAGCCACCCGCGTGGTGTTCCGGTCCCGGTGATTGGCTCAGCAACTGCTAGCTGCGTGTGTGTGTGTGTGTGTGTGTGTGTGTGTGTGTGTGTGTGTCTGTCTGTCTGTCTGTCTGTCTCTCTGTGTCTGGCTCTCTGTGTGTCTGCGTGTGTGTGTGTGTGTGTGTGTGTGCGCGCGCGCGCGCGTCTGTGTGTGTATCTGTGAGTATGTCTGTCTGCATATATGTGTGTCTGTGTGTCTGCGTGTGTGTAGCTGTCTGTGTCTGCGGGTGTCTGTCTGTCTGCGTGGGGGGGCCACGGTGTCTTAGGCAAGGGCGCCAGAGATAATTATAAAAAACAATAAAAAGACCAGCCAGCCCCAGTCCCGCCGCCCCACTGCACAGGCTGGGCAGTGTCTCTAGTGGAGAAGTCCCCACAGCTGGTCCTGACACCCAATGTACCTTACAAGGTACGAGACGAGTGTCTGGCTAACACTGGATGATCAACAGCGTGACAGCCGAGCAACCGCGCGAGCACAACCCTGAGCATTCTTCCCGAGGCTGCTAGACCCTCATGCACACTTAGTCCACTCTGATTCACTTCTGCCTTGTTTAAATGTCTTGGGTTAGGGTTAGCCCTAACCCTTATAAAAAAATTTGAATTTGATATTTTCCTTTTTAAAAATATGCATCTCTTCTGATTTCACTACCAGTTAGTTCACTAACTGCATGCCTAATGTAGAGAGCCGGGAAATTTCAGGAAAGTGCACATAAAAGAATAAAAATCCTTCCTAACCAAAACCTAGAGAACTGAGGAAAGATAAGATGATTTTAGACCAGGGAATTTGGAGCCGTGCGTGGTGGTGCACACCTGTAATTCCAGCACTTGGGAGGCTGAGGCAGAAGGATCATTTCAAATTCCAGAGTAGCCTGGGCTACAAAGTAAGCTCAAGGCCAGCCTGAACTGCATAGGGAGAGACCTTAGGTCAAAAACAAAATTTTAAAATGGATTGGGAGGGACAGGTATGTGGCTCAGTAACATAGCACCTGCCTTGCAAGCACAGGGTCCTGAGTTTGACTCCAAGTACAAAAGAATTTAAAAAAAGAAAAAGAAAGGAAGGAAGAAAATGGATGGGGTGCAGCTCAGTGTGAAGGCTATACAGTACACTCCCACCCCGCCAAAAAAATTGGCGCTGATTATTGGGGACCTGGTCTAGATCCTCCGTCTCCCCAACTAGTGTACGGCAAAGGCTTAAACTAAATGAGACAAGTGGCATGATTTTAGGGTCAAAACCCTCTGCAGAGTTTGGGACTCTGGGGGTGAGACAAGGAATGTCTCTGGGCAGCCCCTTTTATTTAGTTCTTCAAACAGGGAGGAGGCTGGGGTGGAAAATGCTGGCAACTGAGCAGGATCTTGGAGTGGTTCAAATACTTTTCCAAGTTACAGATTATGTTTAGAAGTATCTAATGTTAATCTGGGAGAAGTAGCTTAGGAGAAGCTCTCCATGTTGCATTTCACTACAGGAGTGAGATGCCTGCGGCCTTATTAGTTAACTGGAATTGGGGCCAGGGCTCCTCAGCTGTGGCCTTTTCTTCCCCTTTGAGGTTTCTCTGTCCCCGGGTGAGCCATGCCGCAGCCTTGCACGAGTGTTCAGTTTCCAGCTTCAAGGGCTCCCTACAGCTGACGGTTACTGTATTTAACTTGGTTACCATTTTGGCACATTTGCCTCCTTCTGTATTACTTTATGCAGTTGATTATATAATTTTACATAAACTTTTTTCCACTTAGCATTATACCAGTAATATTTTTTCATTCTTACTTTTCCCCCCAAAACATTAATTCTTGTGTAATGATGCAGAGCATGCCCAAGCCATAATTTCTTAGTCGTTTCCCCTTCTGCGTGTTTTGGCAGTTTCTACTTCTTCACTGTTCAGCAACTCTCCTTGACATTCTCATGCTGTTTCCTGTACGTTTCTTCTTTCCCACGAGTGTCTTCCTTGGTTTGGTGGCCGCCTTCGCAAGGGACGGAAGTCCATGAAGGGCATCCCCGGGAGGGCAGGGAGATGGGCAGCTCCTGGAGTGCAGGCCACACTCGGGACACCTCTCCTTGGCCCCCCAGCACACCCGCCTCACCTGGGAGCAGCCTCTCCCACCTCCTGAGCTTTGCCTGGAGCAGCCAGTCACACGGCACAGGCCTCAGGGGTGATCTGATCTAGACCACAAGATCTTCTGTGGGGTCTGAATTGTTGGTGGAAAAGCCATTGTTGCTTGGTAACAACCTTGGTAACAACCCCAGGAGAAGATCCCTGAGCGCTTTCTGCCAGGCCTCAGTCACCTTGATTCCTGTGTGGCTCAGACAGAGGTCCCCGTTCCCTCAGCTCTGTGGCCCAGCCAGGATCTGTCCGCTTCCTTCCTTAATGTTGGCTAGCCAGGGCTGGGGATTTAGCTCATTGGTTAAGTGCCTGCCTGGCAAGTGCAAGGTCATGAGCTTGAACCCCGGTACCAAAAAAAAAAAAAAAGCATTAATGTTTGTTAGCCAAAGCAGGACTTAACTGTCAGCACCAAAGAGCCCTGCTTGGTCTGGTGCCAGCAGCCTCAAGCCTGGAAGAAGAGGCCTTGGAACAGAGCGGAGGGACAGCGCACTGATGAGAGTTGTGTGTACCAGCATGGCGCACTCTGTGAGTGTCAGCTTCTGGGGAACCGCACAGCTTTGTCTGTAGATAGACCAGAAAGGAATGACCAACTCAGAAACGCCACTGAGCTGGCTTTTTTTTTTTTTTTTTTTTTTTTTTTTGGTACCGGGGGATTGAACTCACGACCTCATGCTTGCAAGGCAGGGACTTATGCCGCTAAGCTAAATCCCTGGCCCTGAGCTGGCTTTGAATAACATCAAACAAGATAAATTCCAATCACTGGAGTTTGTTTTGTTTTGTTTTTTGAGACAGGGTCTCACTATGTAGTTCACGCTGGCCTTGAACTTACTTTGTAGACCACGCTGGCCTCCGCCTCTGCGATCCTCCTGCCTCAGCCTCCTGAGTGTTGAGATTCCAGGGGTGCGCCACCACACCCGGCCAATGACTAGATTATGGATTCAAGGAAAAAAAGTGCAATTCAAGACTTTTATGACTCAAAAAATGTACTAAGGGTGTTGCTATGAAACATAGGATTATTAAAGTAAGACTCAAGGAGTGTGACAGTGCCGAATGCTTGCCTCAAACCCATCCCATGCTCTGAGGCATTGGACCAGGTCACACCAGGAACTGGGCAAGCCCTCACCTGCACCCCTAATCCTTGAACTAAGAGTTCATATACCAGAAAGACCTAAGCCAAAGCCTTTAGCGCCCACAATAATAAATCTAAACAGTATGACATCCCAAGGGAGCCGCACACACAAGCCTCCTGCCATCATGGGCTTTTCCAGAGGCAGCTGGATCTAGAGTGTGGGATGCTAAGGGGTGTGATTACTAAGCAGTCCACTGATTGGTTTGGCACAGCCCTACTCCCAGCAGTATGGATAAAATATAAGGGGTGGGGAGATGCTGTAAGACCCCCTGTCTGCTTGCATTTGCTGTCTTCTGGCGACATGGACCATTTCTCCTCTGGGATGCCCCTCTGCTAAGCCACCCTGCCTCAGACCCAGCCAGTTACAGACTGAAACCTCCACAAACTGTGAGCTAAATAAACCTTCCCTCCCTTAACTTTGGGAGTCTGGTGTTTTGCTTCAGCAACAAGAGAAAAGTAGGACACAGTGTCTAAAAAAAAAAGGGTGATGGTGGTGACTCCTGTCTCCAGTGGACATTTGTCACCTTATGTAGTCTTGCTCTTGTCTGACCTGCATCTCAGCGCCCTTCTCATGTAGGGGAGATCGCACTGTGTGAAAATGGCTCCTGGGGCCTCTTCTTTGGTAGTGGATGCCAAACAGGCCAGGTCCCCCTTTCCCATCAGTTCTAGGGAGAACTCCAAAGACTGCTGTGGTGTGACAGCCACTAGAGGTGGCCCTCGGGACTGCAGGGGGGTATGGGTATGCTTATATCACTGAGGTGTGATACCAAGAAGCAGAAGGGGTAGCTGAACCTCTAATTTAAACTTTTTTTTGGTCTTTTTCCTTTTTATCGGTACTGGGGATCGAACTCACGACTGCCTGCTTGGAAGGCAAGCGCTTACGCCGCTGAGCTAAATCCCCAGCCCCCTAATTTAAACTTTTTGAGGACTCTTCACACTGATTTCCACAGTGGTCACACCAGTCTCTGTAGAGGAGCGGAATTCGTTTCTCTACAGGCCCGCCAGCATCTGTTATTGGTTGATTTCTTGATAATACCCATTCTTTCTGGAATGTTTTAACATTCAGCATTGTTTTAGCATTTCAGCATTGTTTTAATTTGCATCTCTTGAATGACCAGTGATGCTGAACCTTTTTTTATATATTTGCCATTTCTGTTTCTTCATCTGAGAAATGTGTATTCATTTAAGATGCCCAGTTTTGGATTGGGTCTTCAAATTTGGGGGGTCTGACTTTTCTGCTTTCTTTGTATATTCTGAATATCAGTCCTCTGTCTGAGAAGCAGCTGGCTAAAATTTTCCCCACTTTGTGGGTAGTGTCTTCACTCTGTTGGTGATTATTTTTTTGCTGTGAAAACACTTTTTAATAAGATAAGGTTCCAGTTGTTAATTCTTTGTTCCTGTATAGTTGCTGTACAGTTGGGGTTTTGTTCATAAAGTCTTTGCCTGCACCAATGTCTTCAAGAGTTTTACACATTCTATCTTTCAAAAGATTTAGTATTTCTGTTGTAATATTTAGATCTTTGATCCATTTCAAATTTAGTTTAGTGCATAGTGAAAGATATGGGTCTAATTTTAATCCTCGGTGTGTGGAAAGCCAGTTTTTCCATCACCATTTATTTTTTTATTATCACTTTTTGGTACTAGGGACTAAACTCATGA